GAATACACACTTTAAACCCCATTGCTATGCCTGCTTCTTTTGCATGTTCTCTGTTGGCTTATCTCCCATGCCTCCTCCTGCCTGCCTTAGCTCCTCCTCTGCTCAGACACTGAGAAGAGTTTTTGCACAGGGATAGTCCCTCCCTGACACACTGTGTCACTCAGAGCACAGTAGTAGACAGCAGCATCTGCCAGCTTCACCTGATGGAGAACAAGTGTGTTGGATTTCTTGTCCTGTCCAACGTACACTGTGCTCTTTGGATCAGCCCCTTCACCAGGATGCCCTGGGATTGCACCAGCAATATACCGAAGCCCTTCTCCTGGGAACTGCCGGTACCACTGGATCACATCACTTGATTCAGAAGAGAGGCTGCAGCTCAGGGTGTGTGGTTGTCCTTCAAATGCTCTAGTAGATCCCGGCTGGTTGACCTCTTGAGCCCATCCAGGGTTATCTGCAATTGAGAAGTTTCAGATTTACAAGATCTCGTATAGATAAAGGGACAGAGATCATGACCCCCAATGATTCCTAGGTCAAAACTGTAATGTGACCTAGCTCAGGGTTTTTCTGGGTGATCCTAGGAGGAAGTAGAAGCTACTTGCCTTTTTAAGAAATGGAAAGTTTAGAAATATGAAGAATGACGGTGAGAAATGTAATAAACACTGTTTGTTTATTTAATAAATGGCACACACACAGAGAGAGAGGTCTTTCAGGTAAATGCGCACAAGGATTGCTGCTTGGATATCTGAATACGCTATACGTGCTCCCTTTCTCTCATGTCTCTTTCCCCTTTGAATGTTTTTGCTCTGCTTCTCCATTGGCCCACATCACTGTGTCACTCACGGCACAGAAATAGACAGCAGAGTCATTCAGCTGGCTGGCAGGCTTCTCCATGTTGAAGGTCCCCTCATCTTTCTTGTCTGTCTTCTGCTCGGCTTTGAAGCCAAGAAGAGCCCCATCAGCTTGTGGGTCATAGCTACTCAGGAAAAGCTTGGGAGGTTGGCCTGGATGCTGAATGTACCAGAACAGATAGTAGACAGTCCCTTTGTAGGAACAGTTGAGCGAGATAACCTCTCCTTGGGCGACATGCACAGTGCCTTCTGTTTGGTCCACTGACTGTCCAACACTCCCTTCTGCAGAAAAGATTATGCCATAAGAGATTATGTTAGATGGGCAGGAGGACCAACCGATACATCAGTGGAGAAGTCAAGACCAGCTCTGTGGTGCTTGGCATCTTGGGGCTATCTGGAATAGGGTTGGGAATTTTGTAAATCTTCTTCTACATTCTTGGTTCATTATAATTGTGTTAGTTTTGGTTCATTATAAACAAGACTTTTTTTTTAACATTTTGACTTGTTTCCTAATTTGGAGGTATAAGCTGTCTCTAAACATGTGCAGGAGTTTTGTGTGAAAGAGTGCCACACTTGTTGACTTGCACAGCTCGCCTGTTGTGTACAATAGTTCAATGTTGCATCTGAACAACTGCACAGCTCAGGTATTGCTTCACACCAATTGTACACTCATTGAAAGTAATGTGTTGTCTCCCTGCCCACTTCTACCTCTTTGCCTTCTCCACCTGCACAGGTAACATAACACAGGAACATACTAACCTGCCTTACACAAAGCCAAACCATTTCCGACTCACACACATGTTACATTCAACCCACCAATGGGCTGTGTCATGAGTAAAAGTGTCACAGTAAACACTGCATGCTTCTTTCAAGGTGCAAATGTTAACCCACTGAACCATAGCTGTCAACTTTTCCCTTTTCTTGCAAGGAATCCTATTTGGAATAAGGGAATGTTCCTTTAAAAAAGGGAAACGTTGACAGCTATGCACTGAATTAATGAGCTTTAGCCTGCCAAGATAGCCATGCTAATATGGTATTTAGAAAATGAGCAAAAGTCAAAAACTCTATACTTACTTAAAGTCACAGCCAAGAAGATAATACATGTTGACATGGCAATCATGGTGATCCAGTTTAATAGAAGCTGGCCTGGCTTATGATTTATCCTCAGCAATAAATCAAGTCCATCAGTAAGTTACATTGACTTGATGTTCTGCAGGGCAGACTGCTAAAATTTGCCTTCCAGGAGGCTGGCTTCCTCTCTCTGACTTAACCACTAATGGTTTCCTCCTCTCAAGAAATGACTAGTCTGCCACTTCTGCAGGTGATATGAATTCCCTCCCCCTCAAAGCTTAGACTAGAACCACAGCTTTCTTCTTTGTCAGCTGTGATGTGTTTTGTGGATGAAAAGGGGAGAGAGGGGGTGACTGAATCTGGGGAGTCGCGGCAGTGCCCCCTTGTGGGTCCAGGCATGAACTGAAAACTGGAATATCGTGCATTTTGGAAAACTTTATTGGAGTTGAACAAGTTGCAGCTGTTTCAGAACAGAGGGTGTCTTCATCGCTTCCAGCCTTGTGATCACGTGTTGTTTCCAATCCTTCCTTTCCAGTTTAATTTTTAGTAAACAAGGAGGGCTGGCAGCTAAAATTCTATGATGTTCTGTTCCATCCGTTGTATTGGATATCTGCCCAGAAGATGTCTGCCTAGTGCTGGGTGAATTTGACCATTGCAATTTGCCTCCGATCCTTGTTGTTACATGGCTAAATTCAGTTCTCAACATTTCCACATCCCTTTCTGATTATTTTTATTTTTTTAAAGAAGGCTTCTCAGAAATACATCACTTCACCCTAATATATTGTATTTTTAATCCTATTTTTCACTATGCATTTTTATATACACTTTACCCCCCTGTATCAATGTCTGTACATATTACTTGCTTGGAGAACTTCACTGCATTGAAAAAAAATCACTAAAATGTGCATCTCGAAGTATGATTCTGTTTCTGTTGCATATTCTGCAAGGGAAATGCCCCTTTATTAAAATGGAAAGGGGTCAAACCATCAGGTTGGATAGTTACAATGGAATGGTCTTAGGGGTGGGGTGCACATTTCTATTTATTTATTATTATTACTTTGTTCAAGAAAAAAGGGGGGAAATCCCCTTTAAATACTAAAAAAACGGCACTTCTCTGACACCTGTAATTCTGTGTCATTCGTTGAATTCTGGCTGCTTTTGTCCATTAGACTTAGAGAATGTGCAAATCTCCAGCTTTGAAGAGAACAGGGGAGACTTGAGGGAAATAAGGAATGGCCAAGTTGAGCCCCTCAGTATTTGGGGGGGGGAGGGGGAATCCTAGGCATCTTAACCAGATCCTATGCATGTCTGATATCATCAGTTCTAATGCCTGCCCTTTTAGCCAGACAGATCTTACATCCAAGCTAAATGAGCAACTTGGATCCCTGAATACTCTGTTCTGTGTTCTGTTCTGTCTTTCTTCTTTGCAAGTTTTTGCTCTGCTTCTCTATTGGCCAGCCTCACTGTGTCACTCACGGCACAGAAATAGGCAGCAGAGTCGTTCAGTTGGATGGCTGCTTTCTCCAGATTGAAGGTCTTATTGTTCTTTTCATGGGTGGCACTGAAGCCTCGAAGATGCCCCTCATCAGAGAATTCTTTTGAAAACTCTCTCATGAATAGCTTGGGAGCTTGGCCAGGATGCTGAATGTACCAGAATGGGTAGTTAGTCGTGAAAGATGACTGAAAGGAGCATTTGAGAGAGAGTTTGGATCCTTGTGGGATGATCACAAGACCTTCAGTTTGTTCCACTGTCTGCCCAACACTTCCTTCTGCAGAGAAGATAATAGCACAAGAGGAGATGTTAAATAGACAGGTGGACCAATGAACACATCCAAACCAGCTTTGTGGTGTCTTTTGGATTTGTTTGTTTTTTATAAGTTTCTGTATTTAGCCTTACTTCATTATAGTCCTGTAAACCTGTGCGACATTATTTCTAATGTCTTTCATTTGGGAACTTCAGCTCAATAACTGACTGCCTAGTTTGCACAAGCATCAATGCTGAGAAACTATGGAACGCATGGCAGTTCCATGCGATCTTCTGCATATTTCAAGATGCAAACATTAAGCAGGTGAACGGATGAGTTTGGTGCCAGTTTTGGAGAGCCACTGCCAGCCTGTGTCGACCGTCCCGGGTTAGATGGACTCCAATGGGCTGAATTGGTATGAGGAAGCTTTCTATGATTTATAGAAAATGAGCAAATGTCCAATGAAAGAAGGTATTTTAGAAAACGCTACTCACTTAAAATTGCAGCCAAGAGCATAACACATGCTGACATGGAGATCATGGTGAGGAATCTGTTGACATCCAGATCCAATTCAGGCAAAGATTCTTTCACTTAAAATGGATCCTCAGCACTAAGCCGATGCAGTCAGTACATCATGAAGACTTGGTGTTCTCTCAAAGTTGCCTTGGAGGAGGCTGGCTTCCTCTTTCTGACTTAACCACAGGTGGTTTCCTCTTTTGTGTAGTTGACTCTGCTTTCCCTTCAAAGGTGAAAATGAAGCCACATTTTAGTCCGCTGCGAGCTATTTTGTGGGCATCCCCTGAGCTGAACAAAAAGTGAGGAGAGGCAGAGAGCCAAACTGTGGGTAACTGTGCCCCCTTGTGGATATAGGCAGCCCTGTTTAGGGAAGTTTTTAATGTTTGATGTTTTATTGTGTTTTTAATATCCTGCTGGAAGCCACCCAGAGTGGCTGGGGAGGCCTGGCCAGATGGGTGAGGTATAAGTGATAACTTGTTGTTGTTGTTATTGTTGTTCAGGTGAAAAAAGTAAATCTATGTAACCCGAACCTATGCATGTCTTAGGCCAGGGGTCAGCAAACTTTTTCAGCAGGGGGCCGGTCCACTGTCCCTCAGACCTTGTGGGGGGCCGGCCTATTATTTTTTGGGGGGATTAAATGAATTCCTATACCCCACAAATAACCCAGAGATGCATTTTAAATAAAAGCACACATTCTACTCATGTAAAAACACGCTGATTCCTGGACCGTCCGCGGGCCGGATTGAGAAGGTGATTGGGCCAGATCCAGCCCCTGGGCCTTAGTTTGCCTACCCATGTCTTAGGCCATCAGATCCTATGTAAGTAGCCCAGGGGGGGGGGGGGGCAGGGGAGAGAGACAATTGAGAATGATACTTTTTCCTTCGGTGATAAGCACAGTGTCTTCTGTCTGTTTCACTGACTGTCCAACTGGCACCAGATATTATGATAGATGGGGAGAAGGAATATTTCTTTTTTTGTGGAGCTCTTATAATTTTCCCTCTTCCCATTTCCTTCCTTATAGCCTTCTAAGCATGTGTACTTTCAATTTCGAATCTTTTGTTTTGTGGAAAGGGTAGTATTAGGCTTGTTTCTACATTCTACAACACTGGCACAAGCTGTCTCTACACATCACAAAGTGTTTTGCATGGGGGAAAAGAACACTTCTCGAATTGCACAGTTCAGCTGTTGTTTTACACTCACTGAACATTACATGAGCACAGTTGTTGAGTTGTGCAGCTCAGCTGTTCTGTACACATAGTGTAAACACACTGAAGGTTACACCAAAGCAACTTCATGAGTTTGTAGCTTCTGTAAAATCTAACCTGTGTTGATTTCACCGTTAATGCACACTAGAAACCCCGCTTGCACAATGCACTTGCTTCTCTTGCGTGTTGTCTGTTGACTTATCTCCCATGCCTCCTCCTGCCTGCCTTAGCTCCTCCTCTGCTCAGACACTGAGAAGAGTTTTTGCACAGGGAAAGTCCCTTGCTGACACACTGTGTCACTCAGAGCACAGTAGTAGACAGCAGCATCTGCCAGCTTCACCTGATGGAGAACAAGTGTGTTGGATTTCTTGTCCTGTCCAACATACACTGTGCTCTTTGGATCAGCCCCTTCACCAGGAATCCCTGGATATCCACCAGCAATATACTGAAGTCCTTCTCCTGGGAACTGCCGGTACCACTGGATCATATCACTTGACGCAGAAGAGAGGCTGCAGCTGAGGTTGTATGGTTTTCTGTCAAGTGCTGTAGCCAATCCTGGCTGGATGACCTCTTGAGCCCATGCAGGGTTACCTGCAACAAAATTCACAAAGAGCCATTTAGAAAGTCCATACACATGAAATTTGACAGCTCTGGTATAGGGATGAGTTCATGATCAATGAAGGTTCAAGCCTTAAATTTCATCTTGCCTGCCTCCAGATAACAACATTTCTGGGTGATTCTGGCAGAAGGAATTAGAAGCTGCCTAGCTGTTTTAAACAGCAGCACTAGCGACTGCCATAAATCCTGTCCCATAAGCCTAATTTGAAACCACATGAAGAATATCGTGCACCAATTTGGGGGGATCTATTTTGGCTGGAGCAGAGAAGCAGTGCTACACAGCAGACAGTCCTGAGGTCCTAGCTGGCTTTGAGATGCCATGATGTTTACCAAGATTCCTCTTCGGTAGATCTCTGTCTGATCACTGAGGTTGTTGACCACTGTCAGTGGTCCCTGCTGGCTCAGATGCACAACAAAGATCCACCAGGAGCTGTGTATTCAGTATTATGGGTCCAATTTTAAAGAACTGTCTTCCAGCTGAAGTCAGACAGGACCCATCCCTGTGGAACTTCGGGAGCCTAATGAAGATTTCACTTATTCCAGCTAGTGTTTTAACTGAAATCAGTTTTTTGGAACTTTTTCTGTATCATATTTCTTGTCCACCTAGAAATAATCATAGTTAAGTGGTATATAAAAAGTCTGAATAAAAATAAAATAATAAAAATTATTTCATGAGGAAAAAGAAAGAAGGGTTGACAGCTAAGTTTTTATCATGTTATCCAGCTCTGAAACACACACACACACCCTGCAACATTCCTACTTCTATGTCTTTCATTAAATTCTGAATGATTTTGTCAATTAGACTTTGAGCATGTGCAGATCTTGAGCTTTAAAGAGAGCAAGGGAGAGTGAGCAAAACATCAAATGCCCATGTTGGGTCACTTGGTTTTCAAGAACTAATTGGGGTGTGTGTGTGTAAATATAAGCATGTCTTTTGCCATCAGATCTAATGCAAGTTCTCCAGTGCTACAGAGGTCTTCCAAGGATATGAGCACAGGATTGCATCTTGGATCCCTGGATTTCCTTTGAATGCTCCTGTGTTTTTCCCCTTTGTATGTTTTTGTTCTGCTTCTCTACTGGCCAGCCTCACTGTGTCAGTCACGGCACAGAAATAGACAGCAGAGTCGTTCAGCTGGCTGGCAGCTTTCTCCAGGTTGAAGGTCTTTGGAGTCTTTTTGTGGGCAGCACTGAAGTCTCGAAGATTTCCCTCATCAGAGTCTTCTTTTCCAAAATCCCTCAGGAAAAGCCTGGGAGGCTGGCCAGGATCTTGAATGTACCAGAATGGATAGATGACGCCTGACAAGTCATAGGTGCAGTTCAGAGTCACTTTTTTCCCTTGGGTGATGGTCACAGTGCCTTCTGTTTGCTTTACTGATTCTTCAATACTCTCCTCTACAGAGAAGATAAAGGTAAGATGTGAGATGGGCAGCTGGACTGGCTGATAAATCAGTGGACAACCCCAGACCACTTCTTGGCATCTTCTTTTAAAAAAGCATTTGGGGATAGGAGTTGTGCTACATTTCCCCTTCAGTTTCGCTTCATTAAGGTCTTGCAAACCTATGCACCTTTATTTCTGAACCTTTTCATTTCAGGAAAAGGCAATATAAAGCTTCTTTCTGCTTTACACTGAACACAGATCCAGGATGTCTCTGAATGTTTACAAGCTCTTTGTGTGATAGAAAGTACACTTCTTGGTTTGTGCAGTTCAACTGTTTTGTGTTCAAAGATTGTACACTCATTGAAAGTGATGTGTGAGCACCCTTATTGTCTCTGCCCTTCCCTTTACATTTTTCTCCTTCTCCCTCCACAAACCTAACATATCTTAGAAACCTAACAAGCTGCCTCGTATTGAGTTTGGTATGAGCCTTCAATGTGGCCCTCAGTGCAAATCCATACATTGTTTACATTCAAACAGACTGCAAAGACTGTAAAACGATCAATGTTAAGAAACTATGTTAACATACATTGATCTTCTGTGGTCTTCTGCACGCTTGTTTCAAGTTGCAGACATTAATGGGGTGAACTGGGTGAGTTTTAGTGGTCAAGATGCTAGATATTTGTAGGCACTGTTAGTCTCTCTGCCCGACCAAGTACATTGAGTTAGACAAGAAGATGAACTCATATGAAGTCTCAGAGGTATTTTAGACAAGGGGTGGAAGGCAAGCAAAGAAGAGATCAGTTGTGAGGAATCTGGTGATCCCATGGATGTTGCTGGAGTCAACCCCCACGAGACCCGGCCAGCATGGAAGATGGCCACCAAGGGTTGAAGTTGTAGTTCAACAACATCTGGAAGACAACAGATTCCCCATTCCTTGGGTGAATGCAGCCATCGGTGAAAACAGCCCCAACAGTTGGTGCAAATTCTGAAGAAGCAATGATTTAAGGATTGTAGTTTTGTGGTACAGCATCCATGCAGAAGGTCTCAGGTTCATTCCACAATGACACTTCCTGGTTGCACAGAGAGAGATCCCTTCCTGAAACCTCCAGAGATAATATTATACAGCCCTGAATTAGATGGACCCCAAAGGGCTGAAGCGGGTGTCTACATTCCCACGATGTTTGAAAGAAATGAGCACAAATCCAAAGAAATTGGGATGCTAAAAACTCTACTTACTTAAAATTATAGCCAGGAACACAAGACATGCTGGTGTGGAGATCATGGTGAGGAATTCGTCCTCTTCTAGGTTGAATTTATGAGATTGCTGGTGTGGCTTCAGATCTATCCTAAGTCGTAAGGCAACTATTCCCGTAGCTTACAATGTTCTGCAGCACAGAGGACTAAAAGTTGCCATACAAGAGGTTGGCGTCTTTTGTCTCACTTGTGGTTTCCTCTTCTAAGGAATTGACTTGTGTGCAAGCCCTGCAGGTGATATGATTCAACTTCAAAGGTGGGGCTGAAACCAAAGAGGTTTGTGGGGGGGGGGGGTTGTTTCTTTTTTGCTTGCTATGACACATTTTGTGGACCTTCCCTGAGCTGAATGAGGCAGCGAATGAGACTCTGCAGTAACAGCAGCACCCCCTTGTGGGCGCATCTATGAAGTGATAGTTGCATCTGTCGTAATAACTTACAGGAAGGTCATTGATAGGTTCATATATATAACAAGACTGCCCTTTGCCAAATATGTTCACAGGGACGTTGACAAAAATAAGACAGTATGAAATGTATGCACAATAAATAACATGTTAATTAATATAATTCTCATCCTTTGGCAGCATCATTAAAAAGGACATAAACGGATTAGATTTTAGAAGCCCGACAGAAAGGGTGAGTCATCAGCTGGCATCTACAAAAATATGTAATTAGGATGAGTTGTGGCTCAGTGAGAAGAAGCCATTCAACAGATGCAGAGCCACCACAAAGGAGGTGAACCCAACTTCTGAATGATCTTTGGGAGAGTGGTCTGTCTCACTATGTCCAGGATGTAGCTTTTCACAGGGATCAGGAAAGTTGACCTCCCCACCCTATTCTCAACAGCAGCAATCTGTCCTGAAGAAGACTAAGTGGTGGCCTTAAGGGTGATGGTGCCACTGAGCATGTGCTGGAAGCCTTTTCCTCATCACTCGGGGTCATAGACATTTTACACAGATCTTAGGTTAGGGAGCCAAGAGCCTTCAGATCAATGGAGAACCATCCCAACATCTCCTACAATCTGTGTTACAAGAACTATAAGGACAGGTTCCTGAGCTTTCTTTATCCCTCTTCCCTCCCTTTCCATTTTCCCTTGTTTGCTGTGCCTTACTATTTTGTGTTAGCCACCCTAGAAGCCTTTTTCTCTCTCTCGTTGGCTAAAGACTGAGGCATATCCCAAAATGGAAAACGAGCGAGGTCCCAACTGATGGAATACGTGCAGTTTGCGGATCTAACATATAGAATAAGAGAACAAGAAGAGCATTTCTTTAAAGAAGACTGGGAAGGCCGTATTGCTGAGATAAAAATGAATGTATTGCCTAGAATGTTGTTTTTGTTTCAAACTTTGCAGATTGTTGACAAAGTGGACTGTTTCAAGAGGTGGCAGAAAGATATTTCTAAATTCGTCTGGCAGGGCAAGAAACCTAGAATAAAATTTAAAATACTAACAGATGCAAAGGAAAGAGGTGGATTTGCCCTGCCAGACCTCAAACTTTACTATGAATCAGCAGCTTTTTGCTGGTTGAAAGAATGGCTACTTCTTGAAAACACTGACATTTTGGATTTGGAAGGTTTCAATAATGTATTTGGATGGCATGCATATTTATGGTATGATAAGGTCAAAGCACACAAAGCATTTAAAAACCACATTGTCAGGAAAGCATTATTTAATGTTTGGATTAGATATAAGGATTTGCTAGAAAATAAAACCCCAAGGTGGCTGTCACCAATGGAAGCGAAAGCCTTGAAAAGGGTCAATATGGAGGTCAAATGGCCGAAATATTGGGAAATTTTGGAACAAGACGGAGATAGACTGAAATTGCAGAGTTTTGAAAAATTAAAAAAACAAAGTGCGAGAATGGCTTCATTATTATCAAATAATGGAGGCATTTAAATTAGACAGGAAAATTGGCTTCCAGGTGGAAAAATCAAAATTAGAAACAGAATTGTTAGAACCCAATACCAAGAATCTGTCAAGAATGTATAACTTGCTGCTGAAATGGAATACTCAAGATGAAACGGTAAAATCGGCTATGATTAAATGGGCACAGGACGTAGGACACAACATTATGTTTGCTGACTGGGAACAGTTATGGACCACTGGTATGAAATTTACGGCATGTAATGCCTTAAGAGAGAATATTATGAAAATGATATACAGGTGGTACATAACCCCAGTCAAGCTTGCGAAAATCTATCACTTGCCCGATAACAAATGTTGGAAATGTAAAGAAACTGAAGGTACATTTTTTCACCTTTGGTGGACGTGCCCAAAGATTAAGGTTTTCTGGGAAATGATATATAATGAATTAAAAAGGTATTTAAGTATACCTTCCCAAGAAACCAGAGGCCTTTCTCCTGGGCATAGTGGGCCAAATGGTGTTAAAAAGGATAGAACTTTCTTTATGTATGCAACAACAGCAGCAAGAATACTCATCGCAAAGTATTGGAAGACACAAGAACTTCCCACGCTGGAGGAATGGCAGATGAAACTTATGGACTACATGGAATTGGCGGAAATGACTGGCAGAATCCGTGACCAGGGAGAAGAGTCGATGGAGGAAGATTGGAAGAAATTCAAAGACTATCTTCAGAAACACTGCAAAATTAAGGAATGTTAGAGTGATGTTGGATTGAAAATAAGTGGTTTCCAGCTGTACAGGTTAAAGCTAAGGATAGATTAAGATTAAAGATTAAGATTAAAGATGTTTAAAGAAATGGAAATTTGATAATAAAAGGGAAAAATTTAAAGGTATATGACATTAAGAACAAGGATTATGTTTAAAAAGCTGAAGCTATATAGTTTAATATTTCATTAAATTAAAGATTGGGTTTAAAAAGTGGAAAAGAAACTGCTGGACAAATAATGTAGATTGGAATACAAAAGAGGGAGGTATGAGGAAGTCCAGAAAATAAGTAATTCAAAATTGGGAATGTAAAAGAGAGTTTGTTTTAAATTGTTATGTTGTGTGTTTCTATTGTTAAATTTTGTATTGTTTTTTTTGTGTGTGTTGCTTTTTCTTTTTTCTTTGTTTAAAACTTTAATAAAAATTATTAAAAATAAATAAATAAAGAAGACTGGGAAATGTTTATTGAATATATGGGGGGAAGTTGTGTACACTTGAAAACGTTGGCAGCATTAAGATAAATTCAACCGTGTAAATAAGTTTTGATGCAAGTAATAAGGGAGTACTGAATGGTTTAGTTCATATAAAATATGCAGGGATTTATGCTATGTAAAATGAACCATGGAAAGAGAAGAAGGGAAGTCATTGATATTTTAAGGTTGTATGAATGAGTATTCTAAATGGTAAAACAGAAAATTTGTGTGTGTGTGTGTGTGTGTGTGTGTGTGTGTGTATGACTGAGGCATCAATGGTTTAAATCAAGAAACTTCAAGGAAAGAGAAGGGAGCACATTCAGTGTCACATGTTGTTGTTGTTGTTTAATCGTTTAGTCGTGTCTGACTCTTCGTGACTCCATGGACCAGAGCACGCCAGGCACTCCTGTCTTCCACTGCCTCCTGCAGTTTGGTCAAACTCATGCTGGTAGCTTCAACAACACTATCCAATCATCTCGTCCTCTGTCGTCCCCTTCTCCTTGGGCCCTCCATCTTTCCCAACATCAGGGTCTTTTCCAGGGAGTCTTCTCTTCTCATGAGGTGGCCAAAGTATTGGAGCCTCAGCTTCAGGATCTGTCCTTCCAGTGAGCACTCAGGGCTGATTTCCTTCAGAATGGATAGGTTTGATCTTCTTGCAGTCCATGGGACTCTCAAGAGTCTCCTCCAGCACCATAATTCAAAAGCATCAATTCTTCGGCGATCAGCCTTCTTTATGGTCCAGCTTTCACTTCCATACATCACTACTGGGAAAACCATAGCTTTTACTATACGGACCTTTGTTGGCAAGGTGATGTCTCTCCTTTTTTTTTCAGTGTCACATAAACCAGGGATTTTATCAGATTTCTACTGGAATGAATTGGACCTTGTCAACTGAGCAGATGACACCACCATTTGTGGAAAAAAGTACTCTACATGCATCTCTTCATAATGAAGAATGGCTTCATAAAAAAAAAAAAAAATCTCCAATGCAGTTAGACAGTTGCATTGAATCCAAGAAAACATTTTGACACACCTTAAATACTAACCAATATTTTGTGGCATCATTTTTCGTGGACCAGAGACCAGTTTAGTCAGATTGGTCCTTGGTAGGCATGGGTGTGTGGAAAGAGGAGAGTGATGGAGGAGACATTCTAGTTGGTGCACATTTGAAATGGAATCCACCTCATCTGCGCTTCCTGAAACAATATACAAACTAAAACATATGCATTTTTTGAAATTTGCACTTCTCTGAATTTTGCAATGTGGTTCTCTAATCAGTATTGTGCACTGCCAACAAATTTAATATAAATTGGCACATTTCTCATGCAGTTATTATTTCTCTGAAGATCATTTCTATTATGTGTGCTTGTTTTGCATTACATTGTGATAAAATCTGCCTCCTCCCACCACTTTTTACACCATGGTGAATCTGAAATGGTGCCGTCACATCTGAAGCCTTCCCATAAAACCAGGGTTTGAATCCCCACTCGGCCATGAAGCTCAGTGAGTGGTGTTGGGCCAGTCACTCACTCTCAGCCGAACCTACCTCACAGGGTTGTTGTGAGGTAAGCCACCTTCTGATGCCTTTCTCAGGCAGAAGAATGTCTTGCATTGGCCCTGTTCATAGTGTGTTTGTGGTTGAAGCCAGATTTAAACCAGGAGACTTCCAAATTCATTCTTGCCATCTTAATTCCAGCCACAAACCCATTTGGCAGACATTCAGAACTGGGGCAAGACCTCATAATGTTCAGCTTGCCTCCCTCATCACAGTCTGTTTTAGCTCCTCCTCCGTTGAGCCTCTGAGGGAGGTTAATGCACGGCAACAGTCCCTCCTGAACACACTGTGTCACTCAGAGCACAGAAGTACACTGCCGCATCTGCCAGAGTGACACGAGAAAAGCTGAACGTTGAGGACGTCTTGTCTTTGGCAAAATGCAATTTGCCCTTGGGATTAGCAGTATCCTCAGTTTCCCCTGGATATGCGCCCGCTAAATACCGAGGTCCTTGTCCTGGGAACTGCTGGTAGAGCTGGATCATTTCTGTGCTAACAGATGAGAGGTTGCAAATGAGGTTGTATGCTGCCCCATCAAACGCTATAGCTGAGCTTGCCTGCTTGATCTCTGCAGCTTTTCCAAGGGAACCTACGAAAGAGAGAGCGACGAAAAATGAGGTTGGTGTTTCATTCACATTGAAATGGCAGGAAATGGCAGGCATAAACAAAACATGGATCTCTGTGTCTCTCTCCCCAGTCTTCAGTCTCCAACACAGGAAGGTCCGAGAGACCCCAGGAGTTTTTGGTGGGAGGATTGAGAAAAAATACTGAATATCACAATGCCGGCTCACGTAAGACTACTGTTTAGCTGCATTGACTGCCTGTCTGTTTACTTTGAGTATTTAAATAACAGCTGTTCAGCTAACCAGTTTTTCTAGAATTAAAACAAGAACATTTCTTTTTTTTCAAATAAACAAATGAATTTAGCTAACTTAAAACAGCAAAGCAGCTATCATCAATAGAAAGCAAATGCAACAAAAATAGACGTGGGCAAATAAAATCTCCCTGTCAGTAGAAATCTAGCAGGCCAAGCAAAGGTAAGAACCACTCATTTGTTCCCCCTATGCTAGAAGTTTCTTACTCAAAAATGGTATCCCTCATGAGGAACCTGAAACAGTAAAGTCCATTTTATTGCCCACAGAGGACTATATCACTTCAGTCTGTACAAGTGTAGAAACGGAACCAGAAGACAATAACTCAGGAGCTCTTGAGGAATGGAATTGTCCATGAAAGCGTCACTTACTCAAGACTGACGTGATTAACAAAGCCAGGTTACAATAAAGAGTCATTTTCTTGGATGAAGGAAGAAGCGTGGAGCCAAGATGGATTTTGAAAAGAATCCAAAGGAATGTGATTCTGACAAGCTTCTGGGCTCAGCACTGCGCAATCTGAAGTGTAAGATGGTTTGGAGAAACAGTGCCAGCTCTTTTTCTCTTGCTAAGCTTTTTTTATTTTTATTTTTGCCTTTTTTTTTAAGTGCAGGTATTGGTTGACCAAGGGATGTGGTTCGCGGCTAGAATGTCTGTGTGTTGTACAGGAAATCGGCTTTCTAACATCTTATTTAAGACCCAATATGTGCAGAAGTGGCTCAACGTCTCCACCTTGCGTCTGAAAACCATATAACAGTAGAATAAACGCTTTGGGGTTGTTCACAACACTTGTTTGCGTCTGCATCTCAACTTCACTTTACTGGGTTCCGAGAAGCAGCATTTCCAGAATATGAGCAATAGGGAGGGAATTATTTCAGTGCTAGGGGAAGCTTCATTGTAGCACTGGCTGTCTTCTTCCAGAGGACAGGATGCTGTCAATATAGTCAATAGGCCCAGGAACAAACATATTTTATTAAAATACGCAGGAGTGCAGCATGAGTAAATTTAGGGTCTTTGGTCAAAGTAGCAGAGGGGCCTAGTAAGGTTCCCCTGGAAGAATTAACAGAGACAAGGCTGCGGATCTTTTAGTAGAAATTTTTATTGCTAAAGGTACATTTTAAGATTATTTTTTAATAATAATATTTTTATTAAAGATTTTCCTCATTTACAAAAGCATATGCATTGCCTCTTTCTTCAGGTTGCATTTTCTACAGATCTGTTACATTTGTTGTGAGACATTGGTGTTATATGCAGTATTATCCCCAACCACTCTGGGCAGCTTCCCTATAGAGCTGGGCAAACTTCCCTATAGCGAGCTCCCTTCAATTGTCTTCTAAAAGTCAGATAGTTGTTTATTTCCTTGACATCTGATGGGAGGGCGTTCCACAGAGCGGGTGCCACTATCGAGAAGGCCCTCTGCCTATATGCAGTATAGGATTAATTATTTGCAACTATTTATATATCACCAAGATTAAGGAGCAAAGTTCATGGTGATCAGCATAAGATAAGTAACAAAACTGAACACGCATCAAATACAAAAGACATCACAAATCAGAAGATCAGCTTAATAAATCAACACAGGTAGATCACTCCTTAGGGAAAACCTGGATGAACAAATGAGACTTATCCAGGCATCTAAAGACCAGTACTGCGGCTGCTTGCCTGATGGTCACTGAGGGCACATTCCAAAGGGCAGGGGCCACCACACAAAAGTCCCTGCACTTAGTGAACATAAGAGGATCATGCAATGCATTGGGAACATGCAATCAAGAGTTTCTCTTGATTGAAGGCTTGTCCCAGAAAGGACAGAGGAAGAAATGAACTACACTGTAGGGTTGCCTAATGCCCAGAATTTCCAGTATGCGGCCATCGGGAACAGTATCTGGATGGAAATCGCTTTAATGTCCAGGAAAATCCGGACATTTGAAAATAGCTCCAAACCCTGTGTCCGGATTTTCACTTTTTGAAATACGGCAACCCTAAACTACAGTATGGACAGATTACGAGGTGGTGGCGAGCTGAGAATTGTTGTACGGGAATGTTGTGGTTGTACAGGGGAGGGAGCGAGAAAGGGGGGGAAAGGGGGAGTGAGAAAGGGCATGGAAGAGAGAAAGGGAAGATAAGAATTATTACTACAATTAATTTATTGATCGTCTTCTAAACCACTGCCTCGAGGCAATTCATGCACAAGGTAAATAAAAACAGTTAAAAACGCAAACACAGGCAGCAAAAATTTTATGGGCATGCGCATGTTTGGTGTTGCCGATCCAGAAGTAGCCTGAAAATGGGGAAGAATAAGGGCAGGGTAGGGCAAGGGTGGAACAGGATGGGGTGGGGTGGGGCAGGCCTACGCGCGCTTTGCTGGATGTGCACAGGAGTCAGGAACAGAGCCCCCCTACAAAATGCATTTTAAAAAAGACTAAAACCCTAACAGGTGGACACACAGAAAGAAGTCATAATAGTATGAGAAAGGAGCTGTGTGTAGTGTAAGAATTTGTTGATTATTATTATTATTAATTATTATTATTTTAGATTTTTATTCCAGCGTTCCTCCAAGATGCTCAAGTGGTTGTCCTCCCTCCCCCTTTTTAAAAAAATATTTTTTATTTCGTTTTACAAGCACAAAGTTATAACAACACCAAATAAATATCCACATTTAGATTTTCCCCATCCCCTCCATGGGTCTTATTGTCAACGTTTTCAACTGCATCTCATTTCATATTCCATAATTTATATCTGTCCATAATTTCCATAGTAATTGTTACATTACAAGTGTTATTAAAATCCTGCTAATGTTTTCATCTGCTTACAGTGGTCTCCTAAATAAGTTATAAAAAATTTCCCATTCTTTTTTGAAGTTTTTGTCTTCTTGGTTCCTGAGCTTTCCAGCCAGTTTTGCCATTTCGGCATAGTCCAACAGCTTAGCTTACCATTCCTCCCTGGTAGGGACTCTTTCTTCTTTCCATCCCTGCGCTAGTAGCATCCGTGCAGCTGTTGTTGCATACATAAAAAGTCTTTTCTGGTCCTTTGGTATATCGGTACCTACAATTCCTAACAAAAAAGCTTCTAGATTTTTTTAAATATAAAAATCATTTGACACATTTTTTCCCCAATTCATTATACAGTGGACGCTCAGGTTGTGAACGTGATCCATGTGGGATGCATGTTCGCAACCGGCAGCGGCGCATCTGCGCACGCACGGGCTGCAATTCGGCGCTTCTGCGCATGCACAAAGTGCAATTTAGCACTTCTGCACATGTGCGACCGCCAAAACCCAGAAGTAACCTGTTCCGGTACTTCCAGGTTTCGGTGGTCCGTAACCCAAAAAAACACAACCTGAAGTGGCTGTAACCCGAGGTATGACTGTAAATCATTTCCCAGAACGTTTCTAATACTTTACACGACCACCACATATGATAACCCTCCCTCCCCATTTTTATCCATACAACAACTCTGGGAGGTAGGTTAGGTTGACAGGACGCTGGGCTTCATGGCAGAGCACGGATTCGAACGCAGGTCCCAGTTCAGCGCTCTAATCACTTCACCAGTACAATACGCCATCAATACATGCTGGCACATGTTTTGCGTATGTATTTGAATCATGCTGAATGTGCTGGGGGTGTATTTAAATCACCCTAGGAAAAATATACATCTGGTGTTCTGCAAGGGAGAAGAATTGGCTTGAGAATTCCCCCCCCCCCCCGCTGCTGAGCTCAGCACCCTGGCATCACTTTGTGTCTGAAAGCAGAGCCTCACTGTGAGACTCAGAGCCCAGAAATAAACACCTCCATCCTAGAGAAAGATGCCTTCTGACATCAGGGGAACTGTCTTGTTTATAAGAGCCAAAACAACAGAAAACAGTCACTGCAGAAACTGATTCCTCTGGGCAGTATTGTCCTAAATCCGCAAGATCAGCTGGGTCTCTCTCTCTCAAAATATTCACAGTACCAGAAAAGGTATGGACCTGAGATGCTGGTATAGTCCTACCTTGGATCTCAAATGCCTTGCAAGTCGAACATTTTGGCTCCCAAACGCCACAAACCTGGAAGTGAGTGTTCCAGTTTGCGAACGTTCTTTGGAACCCAAACGCCCAACGGGGCTTCCTGCAGCCCATCAGAAGCCACGCTTTGGTTTCTGAACATTTTGGAAGTCGAACAGACTTCTGGAATGGATTCCGTTTGACTTCCAAGGTAGGAATGTAATGGAATTGCAAGATTAGGTTGCATCCTGACTCCCTTGGGTTTCTGTCTGGCTTGGAGTCTGACTGGAAGACTGAGCTGAGAGACTCCTGTAAAGGAGACATTTGAAAATGCCATGAAGAATTTGTTCACTCTGTCTCACATTGGTCCCATCACTTCCTCTCACAGTTTTGTGCATGTGACAGTGAGCTTTTGCTTCACTGTGGGCTCCAAAGCACAGTAGTACACAGCACTGTCCTCGAGAGAAACCTTTTGAATCTTCAGATCCACTGCCCCTCTTTCTGTGCTCAAGGTTCCAGAATATTTTGCTGCCTTGTCATCTGTGGGTGAAAACTTGGTTTTTGACAAGATATGCTCCAGAGGTTGATTGGGAAACTGACGATACCAATACAGGTAAGGGATGCTGGATGTTGTGTTGAAAATGCAGTGTAACTGAGCATCTTCTCCTGCCGTGGTGAAAATCTCAAAATGTGATTGGGACACGGAGTCACTGTGAACAGCCACTGCAAAAGGGAAGCATGAGAGATGAATTTTCTCTTGCATTATCTCTATCTATCTATATCTATCTATCTATCTATCTATCTATCTATCTATCTATCTATCATCTATCATCTATCTATCTATATCTATCATCTATCTATCTATCTATCTATCTATCTATCTATCTATCATCTATCAATCATCTATCATCTATCATCTATCATCTATCATCTATCATCTATCATCTATCATCTATCATCTATATCTATCTACAGTGGTACCTCGGGTTACAGGCACTTCAGGTTACAGACGCTTCAGGTTACAGAATCCGCTAACCCAGAAATAGTACCTTGGGTTAAGAACTTTGTTTCAGGATGAGAACAGATATCACACAGCAGCAGCACGGCAGCAGCGGAAGGCCCCATTAGCTAAAGTGGTGCTTCAGGTTAAGAAGAGTTTCAGGTTAAGAACAGACCTACGGAACGAATTAAGTTCTTAACCCAAGGTACCAATCTATATCTCTATCTATCTATCTATCTATCTATCTATCTATCTATCTATCTATCTATATCTATCATCTATCTATTAATTATCTATCTATCTATCTATCTATCTATCTATCTATCTATCTATCATCTATCTATCTATCTAATCTATCTATCATCTCTACTCACCTTTGCTCTTCTCCATTTTTTTAAAAAAGTGACTCGTATGGAATGGTCAACTAAGCCAATCCTACCATTAGACAGTTGGAGACAGCCACCTCAGGTAGCAAGTGCTTTGGATCTCTGAGGTTAGCCTGCAGCAATCAGGTGGGGTGAAAGACTCTCTTCCATCACCAAAGTTGAAGCAAGATTCAACTGCCAATCTAGTACATGGAACAGGGGCTAGCACCATTGTGTCCTTCACCACAGGAAGCAAAATGTCTTGGGCTGGCCCTAATGGTCAGTATCCAAAGAATACAGTGTGTGCACCTCAATCTCTCCACGTTTTGTCAGATGATGTTATATTTGAGGAAGCTGTGAGGGTTGGTTGTGAGTCGGGTAGGATATGCAAATGGAAAACATCCCGGTGGAGATGCTGAAGTCAGCCTGTGGTCCTTCAGATCCCACATGATGTTAATAGTTTTTGGCTCCATCATCTGTTTTCTAGACACATGCCCCTTGGGTGGGTTGGGGAAAGAATACCCGCCATGAAGCCATGATTCAATAGTGTTGAATCATATAATGTTGGGTGCTCCCAATGAAAAAGAAGCTTAAATTAATTTACAAATGCCATGATGAAAGTCAGTGGAAAAGTTACCTGATTTCAGGAGCATAAAGAACGTTCCGAGAAGGGAAAAGCTGGGGCGTAGTTTAGAAGAGAAAATCATCCTGGCGTTTGCTGAAGCTCTCGCAAGTGAAGCGGCTCCTTCCTGACTTCTTGTGTTTGAAAAGCACACAGCTGGGGCAAACTCTTTCTGTGGCTGGCCACATCTGCTTCCTGGCCTTTGGTGATGTTCATTCATTGCCCCCCAATCACCAACTTGTGGTTTTGAATGAGTTGTGCTTGTATTTTCAAGTGGGAAATAGATCAGTGAGGTAGGTGTGAAGGTCTAGGTTGCCCTCTAGCAACTAGAAATTTAAAAACAGGAAAAGATTGAAGGTGTAGGGAAGACATTGAAGCCTTGTCAGCATGGGTGCTAAGCAAGACAGACGTTTGTGATGGATGGCAGAGCCAGACTAGAATCTGGTGGTGCAGTTCCTCTGAAACTCTACCAGAGTGCTGGAACCTCTCACTCATGGGCTACATGGTCAGCTAGTCACAGAAGGGGGAGGTACAGCACTTTTGGAGGGGAAGAATAAAATGAGTTTTTTCTGAGGGAGAGAATTAGAGATGGTGAGAGATGGGGATTGGCTTTGAGATAGGGCTAATGTTCAGGTTAAGAGATAGGGTTCGATTGGAGTTGGGAGTTAGGGAGTGAGATAAGGAGAACTGGTTCTGAGTGAAGTTAAACATGCACACTGAGGAGACTATCCAGAGTGAGAGGACAGAGCCTCGCAGCTTGGATAGGGAGACTGGGTTGAGGGTCTGGGGAAGGTACAGACAGGAGGGTTCTGGGAGTGCAGTGACTGGACCAGGAGAGGTAGACCTTGTAGATCAGGCTACCTGGGTGTCAGTATAGCCAGGAGAGGAGAGTTTTTCTAGGTACTGAGGAGACTCCCAACCCACTAAACAAGAGGTCAGGTGATCCCCTGGGTCTGTTATACCATTTATAATACCTCAGGTGTGGGATTGTTAAGAGAGTGGGTAAGTGAGGAAAAGTGCCCCTCGCTCATGAACCAAAGGATTAAGCTGTGAAGGAAGCTGCATGGTGTTAAAAGTATTTAATTGTAATCTCTAAGTGGCAGAAACTGAGTTGAGCATTTTACCATCTAGAAGAAGAAGAAGAAGAGTTTGGATTTGATATCCCGCTTTATCACTCCCTTTCAGGAGTCTCAAAGCGGCTAACATTCTCCTTTCCCTTCCTCCCCCACAACAAACACTCTGTGAGGTGAGTGGGGCTGAGAGACTTCAAAGAAGTGTGACTGGCCCAAGGTCACCCAGCAGCTGCATGTGGAGGAGCGGAGACGCGAACCCGGTTCACCAGATTACGAGACTACCGCTCTTAACCACTACACCACACTGGCTCTCTAGTCTGGAAATCTGAATATTTATCTACCCAAAGTGTACCAACTGATTTTTAGTGACTGAACTTTAAGAAAAGTTGTGCCTATAATATTTTGTTTAAGCCTGAGACAGTAGTGAAAGTAAATAAATCAAAGGTAGTGAAAGTAAATAAATCAACTTCTACCCGAAATAACGCATTTCCTTACCCACTTAGTTTCATAAACTTCTTTTCCTTTAATAAAACTTTTCTTGTTTGTTGAATCAACTCCTGTCTGAGACTCTAAATCAGTGGTTCTCAACCTGTGGGTCCCCAGATGTTGTTGGACTACAACTCCCATCATCCCTGACCACTGGTCATGCTGGCTAGGAATGATGGAAGTTGTAGTCCGACAACATCTGCAGACCCACAGGTTGAGAACCACTGCTCTAAATCATTAAGTTCTCCCTCACACAAGTCCCCCGCTAGATAATCTGTGGTAAACTTGGTGCGATTGGTGTACTGTGAGGTGGGTGCACTATATTTAATTGGGGGCAGTTAGCTTGAGTGAATCTGCCACATTATTAATGGGTGGTATTAATCGGGCAAATTCACCAGAACGTCAAACGCCCCACTAAGCAAAATGAGATGGCAGGTCTCCAAGTGCAGCAGGACTTATCACAGTTAGTAGGAAAGGAGGTAACGCCCACCACAATCCTTCAGAAGGTGTCCACCTTACTGCTGTTCTGTGTACCTTCTTTTGTCAGGAGCAGGAAGAAAGTCTACTGTTTTTTTTGTACAAGAGAGGCAGTAGGATGTAGCACTGTGTCACTCAGAGCACAGTAGTACACGCCAGAATCTTCGAGAGTAACTCTGTTGAAGGAGAATTCATTGGCCTTTCGATCGCTGGTGATTATCATGGCTCCATCTAGAATTTTACTTGACACAGTATCTTTGTATCCAGATACTATGGAATGAGGAGCCTCATTAGGGCGCTGCCGGTACCAAAAGATGTAATCATTTGAAATCTGAGGGTGCTTGCAAGGGAGCTTCACTTTTTGTCCTTCTGACCCTTCCACGAGAGGATCTTGGGTGATCTCGCCTTGGCACCGAAGGATCCCTGGGAGGCCAAACAGAAAGGAGAAAGTCAACACAGCATACATGGAACTGCTGGGTTTGCAGTCATCCTCTGACAACATATCGGGCAGAACATATTTAAAATCACAGAAATGGGAGACCAAGAGAGAAGGAGAGTAATCCACTCACCTAATGAAGAAAGCATCACGATGAATGAGGCCAAGGTGATGGGCATTATTGATGGTTTAAAAATCTCTCTGGTTTACCAACTGAGAGCAAAAGGGAGATGATGAGGCAAGGATCTAATCTTCACTGTGGCTGAAGAACAAACAGAGAACGTCTGAGAAGGAGGCTGGTTGACAGACTGAGAGCTGAGTGACTGATCAATATGAGTAAAACTCTGCTCCCTTGTGGCCAAGGGCTGGTACTGCGAGGGTTTTTACACACTTGGCTTTTGCCCTGTGCTTTCCAGGCACAGGTACAGTGGTACCTCGGCTTACAAACTTAATTCGTTCCAGAGGTCCGTTCTTAACCCGAAACCATTCTTAACCTGAGGTGCGCTTTCACTAATGGGGGCTCCTGCTGCCGCTGCGCCGCTTGCGCGCAATTTCCGTTCTTATCCTGGAGCAAAGTTTGCAACCCAGAGCAACTACCTCTGGGTTAGCGGGGTTGTAACCCGAAGTAGGGACGCGGGTGGCGCTGTGGGTAAAACCTCAGTGCCTAGGACTTGCTGATCACAAGGTCGGCGGTTTGAATCCCCGCGGCGGGATGAGCTCCCATCGTTCGGTCCCAGCTCCTGCCCACCTAGCAGTTCCAAAGCACCCCTAAGTGCAAGTAGATAAATAGGTACCGGTTTATAGCAGGAAGGTAAATGGCATTTCCATGTGCGGCGCTGGTTCGCCAGATGCAGCTTGTCACACTGGCCACGTGACCCGGAAGTGTCTCCGGACAGTGCTGGCTCCCGGCCTCTTAAGCGAGATGGGCGTGCAACCCCAGAGTCGGACACGACTGGCCTGTATGGGCAGGGGTACCTTTACCTTTACCTTTAACCCGAGGTACCACTGTATGCATTTTAAATTTCATTGTCTGAGTGCTATTTTTCTTTTTCATGAAGCTTTTCGCATGAAAACCTTCTCTGAAGAGCAACCAGTGGCATTTTGGGTTTTCCACGGAACACTGTTTTGCTCCGATTCAGCTTTAAAGAGCGGCTTTCACAGGGAAAGCATCAGATGGGCACAAAAAGAGGGCCCACAAACGGAGCCTAACCTGGAAAGCATATAGGATAGATAAATAAGCTCTCAGATAGGTAAATCTCCCCAGTTTGTTTTCTCTCATTCTCATTCCCCCAATTTTATGTTCGGTTCCACACCAATCTGCAATTTAAAAAAACAAAATCCTCATTAGCATTTATTGTCAAAGATCTATTAATATATTCATTTCTGTATACCTTTCTGTCATTATGTGTGTACAGTGGTACCTCGGGTTAAAAACTTAATTTGTTCTGGAAGTCCGTTCTTAACCTGAAACTGTTCTTAACCTGAGACCACTTTAGCTAATGGGGCATCCCGCTCCCGCCGCACAATTTCTGTTCTCATCCTGAGGTAAAGTTCTTAACCCAAGGTACTATTTCTGGGTTAGTGGAGTCTGTAACCTGAAGTGTCTGTTACCCGAGGTACCACTGTATACCTTTCTGCCATGGCAATCTTCCACATATTCTTATGCCAGAATGCCACATTTAGACCTGGTAGAATCTTGTTTCTTTTTCTCTTTAACTTTTTATTTATTTTCCAAGCTGGAGGAACCTAAACCTCGTGGGGTGCCTAGCAGGTCATGTGTGTGACACCTCGCCCAATCCTCATCTCTTGAAAAAGAAACAATGGATGCTTAAACAGAAAAAAAGGTAAAAGGTAAAGGACCCCTGGACAGTTAAGTCCAGTCATAGGTGACTATGGGTTTGCAGCACTCATCTCACTTTCAGGCCAAGGGAGCTGGTGTTTGTCCACAGACAGCTTTCCAGGTCATTTGGCCAGCAGGACTAAAACGCTTCTGGCACAACGGGACACTGTGATGGAAGCCAGAGCGCACAGAAACGCCATTTACCTTTCCACCGCAGCAGTACCTATTTGTCTACTTGCACTGGTGTCCTTTCGAACTGCTAGCAGTACAGTTGTACAAGTACTTATTACCAAAAGTGAGTCCCTGCTTACTGCTGTTCTGTGTACCTTTTTTTGTCAAGGGCAGGAAGAAAGGCTGCTGGGTTTTTTGTACAAGAGAGGCAGTAGGATGTAGTACTGTGTCAATCAGAGCACAGTAGTACACGCCAGAATCTTCGAGAGTAACTCTGTTGAAGGAGAATTCATTGGCCTTTCGGTCGCTGGCGATAATCATGGTTCCATCTAGAATTTCACTTGACACAATACCTTGGTATCCAGATACTATGGAATGAGGAGCCTCATTAGGGCGCTGACGGTACCAAAAGATGTTATTTGAATTCTGAGGGTGTTTGCAACGGAGATTCAGTTTTTGTCCTTCTGACCCTTCCACAAGAGGATCTTGGATGATCTCACCTTGGCACCAAAGGATCCCTGGGAGGCCAAACAGACAGGAGAAAGTCAACACAGCATACACGGAACTGCTGGGTTTGCAGTCATCCCCTGATATCATATAGGGCAGCACATATTTAAAATCACACAAATGGGAGACCATTTATTGCAGAAGAGAAAAGGAGAGAAATCCACTCACCTAATGAAGAAAGCATCACGATGAATGAGGCCAAGGTGATGGGCATTATTAATGGTTTAAAAATCTCTCTGGTTTACCAGACAAGAGCAAAAGGGAGATGATGAGGCAAGGATCTAACCTTCACTGTGGCTGAAGAACAAGCGGAGAACGTCTGAGAAAGAGGCTGGTTGACAGACTGAGAGCTGAAGTGACGGATCAGTATGAGTAAAACTCTGCTCCCTTGTGGCCAAGGGCTGGTATTGTGAGGGCTGATCCACACTTGGCAAATTTTGCCCTGTGCTTTCCAGGCACAGGTATGCATTTTAAATTTCATGGTCTGAGTGCTGTTTTTCTTTTTCATGAAGCTTTCCCCATGAAAACCTGCTCCGAAGCGTAACCAGTGGCATTTTGGGTTTTCCACAGAACGCTGTTTGCTCCGATTCAGCTTTAAAGAGTGGCTTTTCACAGGGAAAGCTTCATATGGGGGGGGGGAGTACACATAAAGGATACTTGACTTGGAAAGCATATAGGATACATAAGTGTAGATAAGCTCTCAGATAGGTAAATCGCCCCAGTTTGGTTTATCTCTGTTTCTCATTTTCCCAATTTTTTGTTAAGCTCCACACCAATCTACAATTTTTAAAACTAAAATCCTCATTAGCATTTTAGTGTTGAACATCTATTAATATATTCATTTTTGTATACATTTTTGCCATACACACAGAGAGAGAGTGAGAGAGAGAGTGCTTTTTTTCTGGGGGAACGCAGGAATACGCATACCCTAAACATTTTGTGAATCATTGTACTTTTGTCTACTTACTGTATTTATTTTTCACGATTTGAACTATAAAAAGGTGATTTTCTTGTGTCAAAATGAGAGTACCCCTAAACATTATTATTATTATTATTATTAAGCACTGTGTATGTATGTGATTTTTCACATGGCTTGGCTGGAGCCCAGCATTGTAAAATTCAAAGGAGTGTGATTTTGATGGACGGCTATGTTTTGGTTTTGTTCATTATTTTGGGAGGTGCAAATTAGGTAGGTGCCCTTTAAATGTGAACTGAATCTCATTTCATGTTCATTCACACAGTCTAAGGTTGCCATATTTCAAAAAATGAAAATCCAGACATAAAAATTGTTGAGTTGAGGATTTTTTAAAAAGCTTTTTTTGGGTGAAGGGGAGATCAGCAAGACAACCAACATTTCCGATATGGGCTGCCATATGCCTGGGTCTTCCTGGACATTTTTTCTGAGTTTCAATTTTTTACACCATTTCAGATGTATGGCAGCCCTAGCCCAGTCTAGACCCTTTATTTGTGTTATTTGACATGCAATATTTTGGTGCTGGCCCAAAGGGCCACAATAAATATGATAATGTGAACCCCTTGAGTGTGCTTCTAATAGAGAAATTATGGTAACCTGTTGCTTTATGAAACTGATGATTTTGCAAGCTGCCGCCCCCATTGGGGCAGAAGTAGAGCTAATACGTATGTGAAACACAAAGATACAGCTCATAAGCTAGAACATAAGTTGATACATGGTGCAAATGGCTATGCGTAACCCAGGTTCCCAACATGCATACTAACACAATGCAATAGAAATTTGAACTTTAACAGAGAACGCTGGGAATCAGAGCTGAATCAACAGAAATTGCCACTGCTTATTGCGCATGTGTAGTAAACATGAAATGAGGTAATGAGGTACATGACTGGTGAAAATTGAAATCCTTTGTTTGAAATCTTATAAATACCACCGCCGGGACCCTTGGGCGGGGTTGCAGTTTTGCGAAAAGATTCGACTGGAACCTAATGCTTTGCAATAAACAACAATGGACTCCTAACTCCTCTTGTCTCTGAGTTTTATTGGCGTAACTCAGAAGATAAGCCATTTTTGGCTTACAACAATACCACATGTGTCCCATGGCAATCTTCCATACATTCTTATGTGGCCAGACTGACACATTTAGATCTGCTAGAATTTTCTTTCTTTCTTTCTTTCTTTCTTTCTTTCTTTCTTTCTTTCTTTCTTTCTTTCCCAATACGAAGCAGCCCCAAACCGGGGCACTATCTTCTGAGGCCGCACTCCCATGTGAGTCATGTGACCGTCACAAGATCACAGCTCCCCCCCCCCCCAAAAGCACCTTTTCAGGCACAGCACCTAAAAATGCATGTTTGGGGGCACACTCCAATATTGCTGCCCCACCAGAAAAGCACTTTTCGGGGGAAGCAATCTTGCACAGTAACCCAAAACACATATTTTTGAATTCTGTGCCCAAAAAAAAAGGGCAGCCCAAAATTGTGCGAGATTGCAGCAGCCATGTTGGCCATTGGGCTGCATGAGAAAAAAATGGGATTCCTGTTTTTCCCCAGGGCATTTGACAGGTATGCATGCTATGGACAGGTAGGTCACTCATATCCAGGTAATGCAATGGACAGATAGAAATGAATGGTGCAATGGTGATAACCCAACATCTATAAGCAGGAAAAAAAAGAGACCTTTTGACTTCTAAATTGATGAATGTGTCACTGTTTCAAATTAGTAAATCTAAGTGGTCAGCCGGCAGCAAAGCTGTTTAATTATTCTTACAGAATCAAGGAATCTTAGAGTTGGAAGAGACCCAAAGGTCATGTAGTCCAACCCCATGCAATGCAGGAATATCGGTTAAAGCATCCCTGAGAGATGACCATTCAACCTCTCAATAAAAACATCCAAGGAGGGAGAGGCCTTTTGTAATCATGTAAAAGGGTTTCAGGTAGTAGCTTAGGTCCCATCCACATGAAACATTTTAAGCAGTTTCATACCACTTTAAACAGGGAATCCTGGGAATTGAATTCGTAATGGGTGCTATGCAGCGGAGTTTGGAGAAACTTAAACCTCATGGGGTGCCTAGCAGGTGAGGTGTGGGGCACTTGGCTCCATCCTCATCTCTTGAAAAAGAAACAATGGATGCTTAAGCAGTAAAAAAAAAGGTAAAGAACCCCAGGACTGTTAAGTCCAGTCGAAGGCGACTATGGGGTTGCGGTGCTCATCTTGCTTTAAGGCTGAGGGAGCTGGCGTTTATCCACAGACAGCTTTCTGGTTCATGTGGCCAGAATGACCAAGCCGCTTCTGGCACAATGGGACACCGTGACGGGAAACAGAGCACAAGGAAATGCCGTTTACCTTCCCGTCACAGCCGTACCTATTTATCTACTTCCACTGGTGTCCTTTTGAACTGCTAGCAGTACAGTTTTACAAGTACTTATCACCTAAAGTGTGTCCCTGCTTACTGCTGTTCTATGTACCTTCTTTCTTAAGGGGCAGGAAGAAAGGCTGCTGGGTTTTTTGTACAAGAGAGGCAGTAGGATGTAGCACTGTGTCACCCAGAGCACAGTAGTACACGCCAGAATCTTCAAGAGTAACTCTGTTGAAGGAGAATTCATTGGCCTTTCGATCGCTGGTGATTATCATGGCTCCATCTAGAATTTCACTTGACACAGTGTCTTTGTATCCAGATACTATGGAACGAGGAGCCTCATTTGGGCGCTGCCGGTACCAAAAGATTGTTTCGCTTGAAATCTGAGGGTGCTTGCAAGGGAGCTTCACTTTTTGTCCTTCTGACCCTTCCACGAGAGGATCTTGGGTGATCTCGCCATGGCACCGAAGGATCCCTGGGAGGCCAAACAGACAGGAGAAAGTCAACACAGCATACACGGAACTGCTGGTTTTGCAGTCATCCTCTGACATCATATCGGGTAGAACATATTTAAAATCACAGAAATGGGAGACCAAGAGAGAAGGAGAGAAATCCACTCACCTAATGAAGAAAGCATCACGATGAATGAGGCCAAGGTGATGGGCATTATTGATGGTTTAAAAATCTCTCTGGTTTACCAACTGAGAGCAAAAGGGAGATGATGAGGCAAGGATCTAATCTTCACTGTGGCTGAAGAACAAACAGAGAACGTCTGAGAAGGAGGCTGGTTGACAGACTGAGAACTGAAGTGACAGATCAATATGAGTAAAACTCTGCTCCCTTGTGGCCAAGGGCTGGTACTGCGAGGGCTTATCCACACTTAGCTTTTGTCCTGTGTTTTCCAGGCACAGGTACAGTCGTACCTCGGGTTACAAAAGCAATTCGTTCCAGAGGTCCATTCTTAACCTGAAACCGTTCTTAACCTGAGGGGCGCTTTCGCTAATGGAGTATCCCACTGCTGCCGCACTGCTGGTGCACAATTTCCATTCTCATCCTGGGGCAAAATTCACAACCCAGAGCAACTACTTCCGGGTTAGCTGAGTTTGTAACCCGAGGTACCACTGCATGCACTTTAAATCTCATTGTCTGAGTGCTGTTTTTCTTTTTCATGAAGCTTTCGCCATGAAAACCTGCTCCGAAGCGCAACCAGCGGCATTTTGGGTTTTCTAGGGAACACTGTTTGCTTCGATTGAGCTTTAAAGAGTGGCTTTTCACAGGGAAAGCTTCAGATGTGGGGTGGGGAGGACACAGAAAGGATGCTTTACTTGGAAATCATATAGGATAGGTAAGTAGATAAGCTCTCAGATAGGTAAATCTGCCCAGTTTGGTTTCTCTCATTTCCCCAATTTTATGTTCAGTTCCACACCAATCTACAATTTAAAAAAATAAAATCCTCATTAGCATTTTATTGTCGAAGGTCTATTAATATATTCATTTCTGTATACAGTGGTACCTCAGGTTAAGAACTTAATTCGTTCTGGAAGTCTGTTCTTAACCTGAAACTGTTCTTAACCTGAAGCACCACTTTAGCTAATGGGGCCTCCTGCTGCCGCTGCTCCGCCACCGCAGGACTTCTGTTCTCATCCTGAAGCAACGTTCTTAACCCGAGGTACTATTTCTGGGTTAGTGGAGTCTATAACCTGAAGCATATGTAACCTGAAGTCTATGTAACCCGAGGTACCACTGTACTTTTCTGCCATGATGTGTGTGTGATCTAAAGTACTAAAATAAATTTTTACATGCTTCACACCCACCCACAAACATTTCTATGCACACTTTACCCTAGTATACACATTTTTTTTACACAACTTGGCTGGAGCACAACATTGTAAGATTCAAAGGAGTGTGATTTTGATGGACTGCTACTTCTTGGTTTTGTTTATTGTTTTGGGAAGTGCAAATTGGGTAGGTGCCCTTTAAATGTGAACCAAATCACATTTCATGCTCATTCACACAAACTAGGTTTGCCATATTTCAAAAAGCGAAAATCTGGACACAAAAGTTGTTGAGTCGAGTATTTTAAACCTTTTTTTTGGATGGGGGTAAATCACCATAAAATCAACACTTCCGATATGGGCTGCCATATGCCTGGGTTTTCCTGCACATTTCCCCCCTGATTTTCAATTTTTCCACCAAGTATGGCAGCCCTAGCCCAGTCTAGGCGCTTTATTAGTGTTATTTGACATGCAATACCACACATGTGCCATGACAATCTTCCACACATTCTTATGCCAGAATGCCACATTTAGATCTGTTGAATCTTGTTTCTTTTTCTCTTTATCTTTTATTTATTTTCCAAGCTGGAGGAAATAAATAGTGGTACCTATTGGTCTACTTGCATTGGTGTGCTTTCGAACTGCTAGCAGTACAGTTGTACAATTAAGGGACCCCTGACCATTAGGTCCAGTGGTGACTGACTCTGGGGTTGTGGTGCTTATCTCACTTTACTGGCCAAGGGAGCCAGCGTACTGCTTCCGGGTCATGCGGCCAGCATGACTAAGCCACTTCTGGCAAACCAGAGCAGCGCACGGAAACACCATTTACCTTGCCGCCGGAGCAGTTGCACTTTGATGTTCTTTCAAACTGCTAGATTGGCAGATACTTATCACCAAAAGTGAGTTCCTACTTACTGCTGTTCTGTGTACTTTCTTTCGTCAGGGGCAGGAAGAAAGGCTGCTGGGGTTATTGTACAAAAGCGGCAGTAGGATGTAGTACTGTGTCACTCAGAGCACAGTAGTACATTCCAGAATCTTCGAGAGTAACTCTGTTGAAGGAGAATTCATTGGCCTTTCGGTCGCTGGTGATTATCATGGCTCCATCTAGAATTTCACTTGACACACTACTTTTGTATCCAGATACTATGGAATGAGGAGCCTCATTAGAGCGCTGCCGGTACCAAAAGATTGTTTCTGTTGAAATCTGAGGGTGCTTGCAAGAGAGCTTCACTTTTTGTCCTTCTGACCCTTCCACAAGAGGATCTTGGATGATCTCGCCTTGGCACCGAACGATCCCTGGGAGGCCAAACAGAGAGGAGAAAGTCAACATAGCATACATGAAACTGCTGAGTTTGAGATTACTACATACCTTCCACAGTATTTCGAATTATAGACTTGCCATTGCTTATGAAGTTGCCGTAGATCAAATCCATTAGGCCATCCAGCTCAGAATCACCCCAAGAATATTTGGCAAACCTTTATCTGCCCAAGGGCCACATATCCTTCTGGGGAACTTTCTAGGGGCCATGTGCCTGTAAAAGGCAGGGTTGGGGTGAAAGAGGCAGAGCACACAGATATCTTTATCCTGCACCCAGACAGGCAAGATACATTTTCACAGTTCAAGGAAACAAGTCAGGCATGGTTTGTCCATCAGATGTCAGTCCCACTTACTCCCAGGTAAAGTGTGCAGAGGTTTGTACTGTTTAGGTCTGTACTGTTTAGACATAACTCATAGGGCTAGCAGGTATCACCTTTGGAACTGATCTTTGTCAGGAGGGGCATACACATGAATGCACATGCACAACTGGCTCTGTTGTGTTGATATATGTGGTATGATGATGTCTGCCTGGTCTAGTTTATGGGTTCCGATAGCAACAAACTACACAGATCAACTGCCAGAGCATTCACATTTGCCATGGAATGAAGTCCCAACCAAATGGGAGACAATGGGAAGTTGAAGACAAAAGGGGAAGAAATCTACTCACCTAACGAAGAAAGCATCACGATGAATGAGGCCAAGATGATGCACATTCTTGCTTTTTTATAAGACACTATTTCTCTCCCTGCTGCTTACCATACGAGAGCAGAAGGGAGATGGGGAGGCAGGGACGTACTGATCCCTGCCACCAAACAACCAACACGGAACAGGTGACAGACAGCTGAGACCTGAAGAATGATACTCTGCTCCCTGGTGGGCAATGGCATCACAGCACACTTCTAAGAGGGCTGGCTGTTCCATTCCACACCTCAGTGTCTCTTGAAGTTTCTACCTCTTGTGGGTAACTGCATCATCCTTAGATCATCCCCTGAGGTCTTCATCTGTGTGCCATGTCCAAGAGAGGACTGGAAGGTGGGGAGGAGAGAACTGTCCTTCTCTAAAGTACCCTGCCGCCACCGCTGCTTCATTTATGGAATGGTCTACCAAGGGAGACACACCTGGCACCCACCTTGTTATTGTTTTCGATCTCTGGGAGTGAAGCCTCCTCAGGCAGGGTCCGCTCCAATTGCGCCCCCCCCCCGCCAAGTTGCCGCAGATAGGCCAGAAATTTGAATCTGGGTTTGGTGGGAACCTGCCAGGCACCACAATGGGCAAGGGAGTGGAGTAACGGTTGGGAAAGATGGTGTGGCTGTGGGAGGACGGGAAAGCCTTGTGCCAGGTCACAACCAACACCCACGTCTGGACTGGGTGAGTGGCCATTTTTTATTATTTCCCAGGCATTGGTGCAACACAAATGATGTGATATTTTATTTATAATAGTGCTTATTTTTTATTAAATCAAGTGTCAACGGCAAGCCGTGCTTTGGGGAGGAATCTTTGCAGCCCTGCCTTGAATTCAAGAATTTCCTAATGCAACCCCAGGTTCAATTAAACCCAGGGCTGCAAAGAAAAAAGGGAAGAACCATGAGCATGCTGCCCTTCCGATGCTGCTCTCCTAATTCCATACCCTCCAACATTCCTCAGATGAAAATAGGGACATTTCTCACTCCCATCCAACTGACCATCTTCGACCTCCCGTTTCTGTCCCCCCACCCTGCAGAGCATTTCCACCACAACAACACTGATGGGACACAGCACACACAGCCCCCACCGTCCTGGAAAAAACCCTAAAATCCCTATTTTATTTTATTTTTTTCTTTGGTAGATGTGCAAACAGAAAAACACACACCAGTGAACACTGGTGGAGGAAGAGGAGTGTGGGGGGAGCGCACCGTCCCTAGCAGCGCGATCCCAGTGGGGTGCCATCATGGCTGCCCCCCCGCCTGCGCTGGGTGCCACGCCCCAGGACATGCGCCATGCCCCTGTGGGCGGTGCGTCATGCCCCCAGGATGCGTGCCAGCCCCGTCCCCACCTGCCCTCTGCCCCCCTGCTGCCAGAGCATTAAGCCCTGCCACTGCCAATGAATAAATTTTAGAAAGGGGCAAAATTAGACGTGGATGCTCTTTCATTGGAGGTTTTAAAGCAGAGCTTGGATCTGTCAGGGATTGTTTAGCCATGATTCCTGCATTGCAGAGGGTTGAACTAGAGAACCCTTGGGGTCTCTTCCAACTTTACAATTCTATTATTCGATGGCCTCTTACATTTTAACATTGCACTGCCATTTTTTTGAGATAGCATTGTGAAAATATTTGTGCATGAATGAAAATGAGCACATAAACCACGAATGGCCCAGGGCAATGAATGTCAATAAAGGAGTGGGGATGTAGGGGGTCTGCTTTAACGTAGCAAGAGGAGAAACTCTACAGCAGGCGTCCTCAGTCTTGGCCCTCCAGATGTTTTGTGACTAAAGTTCCCATCATCCCTGACCACTGGTCCTGCTAGATAGGGATCATAGGAGTTGTAGGCCAAAAACATCTGGAGGGCCGAGGTTGAGAAAGCCTGCTCTACAGGAACCAGCTGTCTGTATAACAGATGGCTCCACCTCGTGGTGCCTGTTGCTCACTGCATGCAGGAGCTTCTCCAAGAGCTGAGAGAACTCAAACCCAAAAGGAAGAACCAGTCGAGACCAGGGAGAAGGGTCGATGGAAGAAGACTGGAAAAAATTCAAAATATATCTTCAAAAATACTGCAATATAAAAGAATGTTAGAAAGAGGTTGGAAAAAGAATATTAGGTCGTTTTGGCAGACATGATATAATGGACTAAGTCAAAATGAGGTGTGGAAATTGATGAAATAGAGGAGGTTTAATTACATTATTCTAATTTTAAAATACGTAAATGAAAAGAAGGTTAGAAGGATTTGCTGGAAATACGATCGGAACTAGAATACAAAATTGGGAGGTGAGAGGAGGTCATGGAAATAAGTAAAGGGAAAAAGGTTAAGTAAAGGTTTAATCTGTTTTTTGTCTTATTTTAACTTAATGTATTTTTATATGTTTTTGTTAAGTCTTTTTTATATTCTACTTTATTGTCCTTTTTCATTTGTCCATTCTACGTTTTGTTATGGTTAAAGTCTTCTTTGTATGTTGTATGGTTTTTCTTTTTCTTTTTTGTAATCTTAAATTTGGAATAAATATCATTAAAAAAAAAAACAAACAAAAGGAAGAACCAGTGTTAGATGTCCCTTCTCCACCAGAAGCCTGGGTTGGGGGAAGCCTGTGATATGCCAATATCAGGACTACTGGTGTCATTTGTAAAGTGGATATATATGATGCACATATAAAAAGAAACTCAGGACTCATTGTTTCCCACCAAATGTGATTTTATTTGGCTCCCAGTACGTTTCTGAGCACAATTCAAAGTGCTGGTGTTGGCCTTTAAAGCCCTAAATGGCCTTGACCCAGGATACCTGAAGGAGCATCTCCACCCCCATCGTTCTGTCCGGACACTGAGGTCCAGCTCCGAGGGCCTTCTGGCGGTTCCCTCACTGAGAGAAGCAAAGTTACAAGGAACTAGGCAGAGGGCCTTCTCAACAGTGGTGTCCTCCCTGTTGAACACCCTCCCATCAGATGTCAAGGAGATAAAGAATTACACAACTTTTAGAAGACATCTGATGGCAGTCGTGTATTGGAAAGTTTATAAGGACTGATGTTTTTAAGAAGAAGAAGAATGCTCATTACTATCAACCCTCTTCGATTTTGTAAAAGAATATTCCCATTCCCTGGACTGCTCTTGAATTGAACCTTTTATTGTTCTGACCAACATCTAACCATGCATTATGGATTTATAATGGAAAGTTCTTTGTTTTGTGGCACTGTAAAAAGTTTTAATTACTGAAAAAAGCATAACAAAAGATGGAAGGCGAAGAAAAGATCAGTCATAAATCTATGCGGCAAGATCCTAGGAATGCTTTATTGGAATCAACTCTCTTTCCAGTAAATGTGCAAAGGACTGCAGCTCTGGATCTCTAACTCTGTTCTGTTCTGAATGTCCCTGTTCCATTCTGTCTCATTTGCATCTGAATGTTTTTGCTCTGCTTCTCCATTGGCCCACATCACTGTGTCACTCGCAGCGCAGAAATAGATAGCAGAGTCAGTCAGCGCGCTGGCAGCTTTCTCCATGTTGTAAGTCTTGTCTGTCTTCTGCTCAGCTTTGAAGCCAAGAAGAGCCCCATCAGCTCGTAGGTCATAGCTACTCAGGAAAAGCTTGGGAGGTTGGCCTGGATGCTGAATGTACCAAAATAGACCATAAGGAGTCCCTTTGTAGGAACAGTTGAGCGAGATACCCTCTCCTTGGGCAACATGCACGATGCCTTCTGTTTGGTCCACTGACTGTCCAACACTTCTCTCTGCGGAGGAGAAAAGGGCAGGAGAGATTAGGCAAGATGGGTCAACTGCAGAATTGCTCTGTGGCTCTTAGCTCCTGGTGAATTGCATATGACAAGAATGGGAAACCTGAGCCCCACACCCCACAATATATGTCTCTGGGCTCCAACTCTCATCATCCCCAGCCAGGAAGGTCAACAGCCAAGGCTGATGGGAGCTGTAGTCCAGCAATATTTGGAGTTCCACAACTTCCCTATCCAGGAAACACAGCAATATCACATGTTGCATTGAAAGAACGATTTAACTCACTCATAGCTAGAACCCAACCCTCGCCTCCTAAGGGGTCAGACCCACTGTAATGACTTTTAAGTTAAATATTCATAGCATTGCAGAACTAAATGTATTTATTTCTGTTCTTGGTGGCTTTCTTGCATCTGAAAGGCAAATATAAAACCCTAACTCAGTTAGAGAAGTCATTTTATTTCTAAAATAATAATAAGAAGAAAGTCCCTCTCTGGCTTTCTGTTCTACAGCAACTTGGTAGCATGGGGGGGAAGTCAAAGTGGCTTTTATCCTAGTGTAGCTTTTCTCAAATTTATGCTCTGCAGATGCTTTGAACTACAGTGCGAATCGGTCCCAGCTGGCATGGAGGGTACCAGTTTGGGAAAGACTGACTCATAAGTGAGAATATTGATTGACTCAGGTTACATAAGCGGCAGAACAAGCTTAGAATAGCTATGAAGTGGGAGAATGGATTGCAACATAGAGGATACATTTTTAAAATACTCATTTTAAGAACACCCTATCAGCAGAAACTTAGCATAGCAGGGATGCATTTGTTATTGTTGGTTTCCTTGCCAGGACCTTGAAGTGGTACAGTCCATTCTTTTATCTCTGGACTATACCACTTCCTTTTGTGCAAGGTCAAAATCAGCAAGTGAAGTCAAAAGAATATTAAACATGAAAGTTGGGCTTCCTTGAGTTGCAGGAGAATTTATGAAGCAAATGATAAAAGTTCAAGGCAATTTAAGGTTGCAAGAAGAGAATCAACTTTCACTTACTTAAGAATGCCAGGATCAAGAAAGGCCCAGTCCAGAGGAGGGTCATTTTTCAGGGATGAAATTGGTTTCACTCCGATTCTAGGCTTGCACTTCACTACCTGAACAGACATGAGGGAATGTTCATGCCTTCCTCTTTGGTTAGTAGTTTATTTTTCAAAGCAACCGAAAGATGAGGGCTGGTAGGCCACAGGATGTGGTTAGGAGCTGGCTACAATGAGTTGTTTTTTTAATGTTAAACTCACTCCGCATCTCCACCCTGTACTTGAAATCCACTTCACAACTTTGAGATCAAGCACTGCATTTAGCTAGAACAGGGTTGGGCTGGCTTATGGAAGCCCCTTGGGTGCTTCCCCCAACCCATTCATACAACCCCAAAGATCTACCAGCTGGAGCCAGGTTCACATTAGCGTAGATGTGGTCCATAGTGATCTCCTGAGTCAACTTGGTGGCATGGGTGTTAGAAGACCCTGTTCCTATCCGTCCAATTAGCATTGTAGGAATGCTCTTCAACTTTCTTCCACTTGTGCAGAGCAAGGAGATTCTGACCAAGCATTTTCTGATGGTAAGAGCATACCTTCCAACCTTTTCCCGATGAAAATAGGGACGTCTCATTCCATAATGAGAATTTTACAATTTATACCCCGCATGTCTTACTGGGTTGTCCCAGCCATTCTAGTGTCAGGGCCCGGGCAGAAGAGCAATGGTGGAGACCACCTCCCCAACCTGACTTTTCCAGAGAAGAAGACAGTTCAGAATTGCAACAGGGGTTTGAGAGAGGTCACAGCTCAGAGGCAGATGTGGGGGAAAGCTGGGGAAAAATGGGAGAGGAGGACGGTGAAGAGGAAACACCAGGAGGGCAACAGCTGACATACACAATGTTTTTAGAAAGCATTCCAGACTCCCCCTCTCCCAGAACCTGGCGAGCCTTGAAAGTAGGAGAGCAAAGAGCTCAGAAGCAAAGGTCCTTCAGCGCCACCCATAGAGGAGATGATGGTGAATGAGGAAGTGAGAGGGAAAGGGGGTGGAGAGTTACACGGGACAATGCCATTATTCCAAGAGGCTGCATTCCAAGCCTCTCTCTGTAAATATTGAATAAAAAGCAGATGGTAAGGTCTTTTCCTTTCCTTATCCCTTCCTGGCAACCTGCCATGGTGGTTGTTTTCTCTGCTGCCTGACATCTGGATGGCTTTCAACATATATAAAAACATAAGAAAACATTAAACATTTAAAAAAAGAACCTTCCCTATACGGGATTGCCTTCAGATGGCTTGGGGGTCAGATAACTCCACACCCTCCAACATTTCTCCAATGAAAATAGGGACATCTGAAGGAAAAGTGGGACATTCTGGGATCAAATCAGAAACTGGGATGGCTTCTCTAAATCAGGGATGTCCCTGGAAAATAGGGACACTTGGAGGTTCTGAAAGAGCTGCTTGACAATAGAAAAGACTATCACAGAAGGTGGTAGACTCTCCTTCCTTGGAGGCTTTTAAACAGAGCTAGGATCGGTCAGGGATTTTTTTAGTTGTGATTCCTGCATTGCAGGGGGTTGGACTAGATGACCCTTGGGGTCCCTTCCAACGCTACTGTTATGTACTAAGCTTGGATCCTAGAACAATAGGCAGGTAGGAGCCGAGAATGCAGCAACTGATTGGCCTGCAGGAGAAGACCAATCAGGCTCCGGGAGGGAAGCAGAATCAGCCAATCAGATGGGACTCATTGTGTAAATAATGTGTATAAAGGCCTGTGGTTTGGGGGGGGGGAATCAATCACTGTTTTACAAGCTGCAATAAAGAGCATGAAATCACCGCATGACTCCGAGTATATTTCAGCTACAGTTTATGATTTAATGGCCTCTTACACTTTAACATTTAAATTTAACATTTAATTGCCATTTTTTGATATAGCATTATGAAAAGACTTGTGAACGGATGAAAATGAGTACAGTGGTACCTTGGGTTACAAACACCTTGGGTTACAAATGCTTCGGGTTACAAACTCTGCTACCCATTCAGGTTGAGAACGTTGCCCCAGGATGAGAACAGAAATCACGTGGTGGCAGCGCAGAGGCAGCGGGAGGCCCCATTAGCAAAAGCACGCCTCAGGTTAAGAGCAGTTTTGGGTTAAGAATGGACCTCCGGAACGAATTAAGTTCGTAACCTGAGGTACCACTGTACATGAAATATGAATGACCCAGGGCAATGACTGCAAATAAACAAATGAAGATGTAGGGGGTCTGTTCTGGCAAAGGGAAGAAACTCTGCAGGAATCAGCTGTCAGTGCTATGAGAGTGTGCAGTGCCAGATTTATGTATAAGCTAAACAAGCTATATCTTAGGGCCCCACTCTCTTGGGGGGCCCCCCAAAAATATTCACTATTAATATACTTCTTCTTAATTGTATTTCAGTTCAACAATTACTTTGATAAAATACATATTTTGTTATGTTCAAATGGCTTTAGATACCTATTAGGTCCATAAATTACCATATAGCATATACCGTATTTTTTGCTCTATAAGACTCACTTTTCCCCTCCTAAAAAGTAAGGGGAAATGTGTGTGCGTCTTATGGAGCGAATGCAGGCTGCGCAGCTATCCCAGAAGCCAGAACAGCAAGAGGGATTGCTGCTTTCACTGCGCAGCGATCCCTCTTGCTGTTCTGGCTTCTGAGATTCAGAATATTTTTTTTCTTGTTTTCCTCCTCCAAAAACTAGGTGCGTCTTGTGGTCTGGTGCGTCTTATAGTGCGAAAAATACGGTATTCAGTGCAAAATACAGCCACAATTTGTTGTTGACAAAGGACAGGTGGATTTATAAAGGGCCCCATTGCCTTCAGTAGCTTAGGGCCTCATCAAACCTAAATCCAGCCCTCAGAGTGTGGAGATCTTTAGCAAATGAATGGATGGCGCCACTTTGTGGTGCATGATGCTCACTGCATGCAGAGGCTTCTCCAAGAACAGAGAGAACGCCAACCCAAAAGGAAGACCAAATGTTGGATGTCCCCTCTCCACCAGAAAAAAAAGCCTTTGATCTGCCAATATCAGGGCTGCTGATGTCATTGATACAGTTAAAAAAAATTGAGTGCCATGCCTTTTCTTCTAAAACTTCCTCATATGGGAGTTTCTTTAGCCATTCTTTAGCCACTTTAATTGCCTTTTCCCAAACCTTTCCCAGCTCCACAGTGTCCCTTTTGACCAAAACTGTCATTCTTTCCCCACTAAGTTGAATTGCCCCAAATTTTGTACCCTTTCATTATACAGAGACAGAGTGAAATCAAAAGCAACTATCAGCTTTAAAGGGAGAATTTCATCAATATATGAGTATGACAATGCTGAATCAGTTTGTAAAAGTCTTGTTTTATATATATATGTTGGTTGCAGTCAGACTGACCATGGCCCAAGGGCAGAGAAATAAGTCAAACTTTTACCTTAACACCTGGTAAAAAAACAAAAAAACCCTGACTTATTTGATATGTATTTCATGAGGCACTGCTAAGTCAATAAAATGTGCTACTATGTGGTGGGTGTACGTATTTGATGCATATTTTAAAACAAACTCATGTCTTGCAGGTTCCCACCAAATGTGATTTTATTTAGTACTAATTAGATGTGAATGTTCTTTACGATAAACCCTCTTTACTTCTAGAAAAAGAATATTCCCATCTTTGGGCTGATCTTGGATTGAACCTTTTTAAGTTCTGAGGTAACATCTAACCATGCATTGTGGATCTATAATGGCAAGTCGCCACTCGGTTCTTTGTTTTTCTGCAACGTAAAATGTTTTGACTACTCAAGAAAAGCACAAAAAAACGTCGGGGTGGTAAAAATCAATAATAGGTCTATTCTTCAAGATTCTATGCATGCCTAGTTGGAATCAACTCACTTTCAGGGGAATGTGCAAAGGATTGCAGCTCTGGATTCTGACTATATTCTGAATGTCCCTGTTCCATTCTGTCTCATTTGCACCTGCATGTTTTTGCTCTGCTTCTCCATTGGCCCACATCACTGTGTCGCTCACGGCACAGAAATAGACAGCAGAGTCGTTCAGCTGGCTGGCAGGTTTCTCCATGTTGAAGGTCCCCTCATCTTTCTTGTCTTTCTTCTGCTCGGCTTTGAAGCCAAGAAGAGACCCATTTGCTCGTGGGTCATAGCTACTCAGGAAAAGCTTGAGAGGTTGGCCTGGATGCTGAATATACCAGAACAGATAGTAGACATTCCCTTGGTAGGAACAGTTGAGAAAGATCCTTTCTCTTTGGGCAACATACACAGTGCCTTCTGTTTGGTCCACTGACTGTCCAACACTCCCTTCTGCAGAGAAGAAAAGGGCAGGAGAGATTAGGTGAGATGGGTAGATGGATGTGTGGGTGAGCTGATGGTCAAGAGCAGAATTGCTCTGGAGATCTTAGTTCCTGGTGCATCATATACAACAAGGATGGGGAACCTGCAGCCCTCACATGATGTTAATGTACTCCAACTTCCATCAGCCCCAGCCAGCATGGTCATCAGTGAGGGTTGATGGGAGCTGTAGTCCAGCAACCTCTGAAGTGCCCCCATGAATGAGACACAGCAATAGCACAGATTTTTGTCCTTAACCAACATTGGCGCATGGGAAAACCTCAAAGCAACTTTAAACATCTGGTGCCCTCCAGATGTTTTGAACAACAGTGCACATCAGTCTCAGCTGCATGAAGGGTATCAATTTGGGGAAGGTTGATCTGTTGAGTTAGAATATCGATTGACTCTTGCTGTTGGTTACAGACACAGCAGAAAAAGATTAGAATAGCAACGAGGCAGTAGAACTGATGACAACTGAGATGACATATTTCTGAATGCTCCCCTTAGAAACACCCCATCAGTGGAATAATAGCATCACAGGGATGCATTTTGTTGTTGTTTTCCTTGCCAGGAACCTGAAATGCTACAGTCCATTTTTTTACCTCTGGATTATAGCATTTCGTGGTTTGAAAGTTCGGAGTCGGCAAGTGAAGTCATAAATGTAAAAGTCTTGTGTTGCAGGAGAATCTAGGGAGTAAAAAAAGGTGTCAAGACAATTTTTAGGCTGTGGGTAATGAATTGACCTTCACTTACTTAAGACCGCCAGGATCAAGACAGGCCAGGTCCACAGGAGAGACATTTTTCTGGGATGAAGAAGGGAAGAATCACAGAGGAATTTCCATTCAATCCAGTTCTAGGCTTGAACTGCACAATATGAGCAGACTTGATGAAATGAAGTTAATGCCTTCCTTAGGTTCAAAGGAACCTAAACTTGAGGGCTGGAAGACCACAGGATGTGGTTAGAATCTGACTACAACTAGAGTATTTTTCTCTCTCTCTTAAAGTTGAACTTGCTCAGTATCTCCATCTCATGGCTGAAATCCAGATCACAATTTCAAGATAAACAAATTATCTAGAACAGGGTCTTGCAAGCTTATAAGAGCCACTTGTGTGCTTCCCCACCTTTAACCCAAAAATCTAACAGCTGAAACCAGGTTCACAATAGTGACTCGGGTTGGAAAACCTTCTCATAGAACTATGGAGAAGGCTGCCTTTGAGCAAATGCTCAGCCCAGGAATTTGCTTTTGATACCAGAGCTGAGCTCACGGTCCTTTCCCACAATAATCCTCCTCTTGTCTCCCACCCCAAAAAACTTGTTTGATCTCAGCTGTGTGAAGAAGGAGGAGGAGGAGGATCAACTGTAAATCATGAAGGCAGCAATCCCAGACACAAGAAGCTGTAGGAAAGCAAGCTGCTGTAAATTAAGACAGCATAAAGTTACCGTATTTTTGGCTCTATAAGACTCACTTTTTCCCTCCTAAAAATTAAGGGGAAATGTGTGTGCGTCTTATGGAGCCAATGCAGGCTGTGCAGCTATCCCAGAAGCCAGAACAGCAAGAGGGATTGCTGCTTTCACTGCGCAGTGATCCCTCTTGCTGTTCTGGCTTCTGAGATTCAGAATATTTTTTTTCTTGTTTTCCTCCTCCAAAAACTAGGTGCATCTTGTGGTCTGGTGCGTCTTATAGAGCGAAAAATACGGTACACCAGATCTGCTGCCCTGCTTAACACCACAGAGGGGAAAGTAGCCTTTGAAATTGCTGTACTTGCCAGGTCATGTAACCAACTAGAATAGGCTCCAGGGATCCATCCGAAGTTCTTCCACTGCACAACTATACAGCCCCTTTTGGGGGGCTTACATCTGCCAGCTGAGCTGGGATGAGCAAATTGCATCAGCGTATCTTTGGCTGTGTCGGGGTTGGGGACTTAATGCCCGCTGAGCCATGAATCAGTCAACCGAGCCAGAGATCTGATGCATCCTAAGCTGTTCATCCTGGTGGATGTTGCCACAGGATTCCCCTATTAAGCATTTGGTTAAATCGCCAAAGGGAAAGTTTTCGTGCTGTGGTGTAATTTTTGTTATTGTTATGGTTTGATTTTTCAGACATTTATTTTGTGATTTATTGTATTTTTATCTTTACATTTCCATTCCATTTCATTCTATTATAAATATTACATATTCCATATTTTAAGTTGTATCCCACTCTAGGACTGGTTTCACTGAAGAGTGGATTATATAGCTTCCCCCCAAAATAAAGTGTTTCAACAGTGAAAGCTTTTACGTTTTTGTTTTTCTCCAAACTATTTATGGAACTTTCAAATTGAATTGAAATTACAAAAGAATATAGCAATGATTAGATCTAGACTCAGTCATACAGAGAATAAATAATCTTTAATTTAATTTAAGCAAGGCTTAATTTAATCATTACATTTCAGTGGCCTATGGATAAATCTGGATCTGACCCATGGACTTCAACTTTTTATATTTAAAGTCCAAAGCTTTTTTTTTAAGGAGTTTTGTTTTGTTTTGATGGACTAATGAGATTCTAAATCCTTAATAATTCTGGTGAGACTTGAAAGCTAGAAATTTCAATTCTAACATCCCATATCAAGTAGTTGGAGTGCTCTTCGAAGACCTGAATATAGCAATGTCTGTAACAGCGTCCTTTATTCTCTCTGTGTGTGCGTTTAAATTACATTAGGAAAACATGCACTTGAATTTTTGGCAAGCAAATGTAAGACTTGGCTTGATAATTTGTCCTCAGAACTGTTTCAGTGCCCACTCAGCACCCTTGTGTCTCTTTTTGTATAGTGCACAGTCAAGGCTGACTCACTGTGCCACTCAAAGCGCAGTAATACACAGCCGCATCCTGGAGAGAGACTCCTTCAACTGTCAGAGGAACAGTACGCTTTATGATATCCAAACTGGCAGAAAACTTCTCTTCAGCCTTTGGATTTTGATCGGCTTTGGTAGCACGCAAGAGGATCTGGGGTCTTCTGTCGGCATACTGACGATACCAGAAAAGATAGGGGAATGAGTCTCCACTTGTGAATTTGCAATCGAAAGTTACCACCTGCCCCTCTGGAGATTCCATCTGTCTCTGTGACTGGGACACTGAATCAGTTTGAGAGATACCTATAAAACAGAAATTGAGAAACAAAATTAGACCTTGCCTCTCTCTCTCTCTTTCTTTCTTTCTTTCTTTCTTTCTTTCTTTCCTTCCTTCCTTCTGAAAGAATAACCTTCTGAATCGCCAACTGAATTATCTTCTTCTTCTTCATTTTAGTTTAAGGTTTCTGAGTATATTGTCATTTGCCCCAATTTTTGTGTCAGTATACGTCTCACAACCCTGAGATTAAGAGAGTCTCATGTTCTACCAATGGATCCATCCCAAGGCTAATCCCAAGGCTAAGGTCTGTAGGGATGTAGAAGTAAATAATGTAAGTTTACATCTTATCTTTCTTTAACAGTCCACTTCGAAAACAATTGGCACATACAGTCACTTAGGCCAACATCTGTAAAAATGAGGTACATTGGGCTGTATTCATTGATAGTGATACTCAGAGTAGACCCATTGAAATTAATATTATTCATATTTCTGTATGTCCAGCTGTTTCTCTGTCTCTCGACCCATCCTATTAAGATTTCTAAAATTACCCAAATCTTAGCCTTTCATTCAGTTAGAGAAGACCTATAAAAATTAATGAACCTAAGTTAGTCATATCTGTTATTTTCAAAGCCTCCACTCTGAGTAGGACTAACATTAGATTCAGCCCTAAGTATTCCTCTGATTTTTAAAACTGATTATTTTTATTCAAATCCTCACCTTCCGAAATAGGATAGGAACACAACATTTTGTTTTCAGTTCTTAAACTTGAAACTCTTACAGTGCCCAGGCTAAGGTAACTTATGTTTAAATCACACTCAGCTGTCAATATATCTCTTTGTAGACTTGACTTGTACAGTCAAAATATGTACCTCTTTGGATAGCGAGGGACTCCAACCATAGGATTGTTTGGGTGGTATTCTTACTGAGAAACTTGGAAGATTATCTTATCAACGCCACAGCAGCACCCAAGAGAAATATTACCTGGTTTTGGAAGGAGAAGGAACGCTACCAAAACAGTCAAGCACAACTGCATTTTAGATCAGGAAACCCTCTATGTTGATGCTTCCAAACAGTGGCTATGGTCCTCTCCCTCGTTCCTTGTATTTTAAAAGTTCTCTGGTGAGGCAAACTCCATCTGTAGTCTGCCTCGTCTGTTTCCTGCCCTTCTGTGATGCTGGCTCATTGCTGTCAATCATCTTTTGAATGATGACATATATTTAAATTGAAAGTTAGGTCAATCTGCGAATAGACATGTGAAGCTCTGGGTTGCACTCTAGTGGTGAAAAATAATATTTCTTTTTTTTAAAAAAAGCAGCTTAAGGGAACTGTGTTAAGTAGAACAAAAATGCAAGGTGCATCTGTTTGTTGTGGATTTAAAATGAACTCTCTCAAATAATAGTCAGCAATATTCAACACTCTCACAAAAATGACCCATAATTTTTTTTTAAATGGAAAAGAAACCATGGTTGTCCCCCTCATACCACACATATGGCTTCTCTCAAATAAATGTATATTTTTTGTGTCTTTTTAAGGTGATGAGACTTATTTGTGAAGCATCTCTTTCATCGAGCTAGCATAGCAGGTTTCTAAGTTGGAAGCTAGGATCTGTAAATGGGTTTGACAGTGGTGCTTTAAATCGGTTATGTAAATCATAGAATCACAGAATTTTAGAGTTGGAAAGGATCCAAGGGCCATCTAGTCCAACCCTCTGCAATGCAGGAATCTCAGTTAAAGCATCCATGTCAGATAGCCACCCAACCTTTCCTTAAAAACCTCCAAGGAAGAAGAGTCCACCACCTCTCATGGGAGTCTGTTCCACTGCGGAACAGCTCTGATCGTCAGAAAGTTTTTCCAGACATTTAGTCAGAATCTCCTTTCTTGTAACTTGAAGCCCTCATGAACCCTAGCAAACTGCATTCAAACCAGAAGTCAGTCTGTTTATATATCCAGTCTCATCAAGCAGATACCCTTGGCTCATTCATTGCCTTCATCAGATTAACCTACCTCACAGGGTGGTTGTGGGGATAAAATGAGGAGGAGCAGGAGCATGTTCTTTAAAATGCAATTTGTTTGAATTTGACATCATCTATATTTGCAGACTGAGCATTAGAAAAGTGCCATAGTCTATATTAATCCATGCATCTCCAGATTTACCATGTGGACATGCACACAATAATTCTATACAGTGGTGCCCCGCAAGACGAATGCCTCGCAAGACGGAAAACCCGCTAGACGAAAGGGTTTTCCGTTTTGGAGGTGCTTCGCAAAACGAATTTCCTATGTGCTTGCTTCGCAAGACGAAAATGTCTTGCGAGTTCCTGCAGGGTTTTTCCTCCCCCCCCTTTTTCCCAAGCTGCTAAACCGCTTATCAGCTGATGGCTAAGCCGCTTATCAGCTGATCTTTAAGCCGCTTAACAGCTGATGCTAAGCCGCTTATCAGCTGATCTTTAAGCCGCTTATCAGCTGATCTTTAAGCCGCTTAACAGCTGATACTAAGCCGCTTATCAGCTAATACTGTAGCGCTAAGCGCTAAACCTCTAATGGGCTTGCTTCGCAAGACGAAAAAATCCGCAAGACGAAGAGACTCGCGGAACGGATTCTTTTCGTCTTGCGAGGCACCACTGTACAATGATTGTTGAGTTTCATATATATGTTTTCCCACTAAGGTTTTTAGCTTTGTCTGAAATATGTCTTTATTATGAATTAGGATAAATTGCATCTATTACATGTCACATAGGTCCCTTCGCGCGCACCCCCCAAAATTGATGGGGCTGCCTGCCAAGTTGATGGGGCACTGCCTTTCAAATGGTGTGTGTACCAAATCATGTGATTGATTAGACTTACCCGCTCCCCCCCATTTCTTTTTTAAGTTGGCACCCCTGACATGTCAGTTCACCATATCAGTATAGATTGGACAAATGATTTGCTTCTGGTGACAACACTGTGATTTGTATATTCATTGATCACCAAGGAAGACTCTTGGTGAATTGAAATGCACCTAGTCTTTAGCGTAAATGTTACCACTGTTGCTTTTGTGATTCTAATGACTGCGTAATTCCATTCATATTTTTATATGTGCTTATATTTTGGGAGAGATTAAAGTTCAATTCTGTTTTATATAAATTCCGGTAGCAATCCCTATCCAGATGTGTAGATGTTGATGTGTTTCAATCTCTTTCCCTGTTAATTTTAAATGGTTGGATCAGTTGGTTTTAATTATAGAACTCTAGAGTTGTAATGAACCCCAAATGTTATCTAGTCCAACCCTCTGCAATGCAGGAATCTCAACACATGGTCCCCATGCAATTTGAAACCATACTGGACCAGAAAGGGAGGAATTAAGGCAGATCCTAAACCTGTCCATAGGTCCGTGTTGCCAGGTCATGTGACTCAGCTGAAGAGGCTTCAGATTGCCCCTTAAGTGGGCTTCAGAAAACTCCATTATGAAGCTCACCTCTAATTAGGAATAGGGAGAAATTTGATTCACCTCAGCTTTCAAGGCACACCTTGCCAAGTGAACCAAAACACAGCCACCCTCCGAAATTCACGTTTCACTGAGTTTTGAAATGGATGTCTCCAACCGTGTAACATGTACAAAAATGCATATATTGGGGTAAAGTGTGTAAACAGACGCATCTTAATGCAAACGACATTGCCTTGGAAGGTGATGGACTCTCCTTCCCTGGAGGTTTTCAAGGAGAAGTTGGATGGCCATCTCTTAAAGATTATTTAGCTGTGATTCTTGCATTGCAGTGGGGTGAGGTGGGTGATCCTTGGGGGGGTCCTGTCTAATTCTAGTTCTACGATTCTGTGACTTAGAAAGACATAATTATATTGGGGAAAATCGCTTTACAAAAATGTGTGTATAAGGCAAAATGGCATTCACCCCAGCTCAGAGAAGAGGACTGAAGAGCCGCTCCCTCTGCAAGTTTCTGTTCAGCTTCCCTTGTGTTTCTCAACACTGTGTCACTCACTGCACAGTAGTAGATGCCAGCATCTCCCATCTCCACCTCACTGATGGAGAGGTTTGTAGCGGTGCTGGTTTTGTCAATGTCCATCACCCAACGCTGTTCTTGTTCCGTCGTATATAAGCCACTGATGATTGAGTGAGGAGCCTTGTCCTGACTATGTTTGTACCAAAAGAGCCCATTGTAAGAAGAGATTCCGTGGTTACAGGAGATCTGTGCTGTTCCTCCTAGGGGGGCGGATACTTCTGGAGGCTGGGAAATATCTCCAAAGGTTGCTCTGCCTGGAAGAAATCACCATCATTCCATGACTAATCTTTCTGTTCTTCCACTTATTTTCTCTCTCCCTGTTCCACCTTTCCTTCTTTCCTGTTTTCTTTCTCAAGCCTTCACACACACACACCTCCTGTAGCCCCCTCTCACTCATCCATTGTGAACATGGTTCACCTCTCATTTACCCTTCCTTTATTCCTTCCCTTTCTCCTCCTTGGTTTTCATTCCTTCACTTCACGAAGGCTTGTATGCCCTCCCCTGATTTGGATTAATTAATAGCAATGCTAATAATAATTTCTGAAACTAATAGTAACTAGCCGTCATGCCCCTAGAAATAGTCATTGCGCCATCTGAAAGAGTTCTGTTGCAAGTCTAACAATATTTGCCATTCTGGTAGTGCTGGTTATGTTAAAAACTAAGGCAGAACTACTGGAGCTGCTCATCATCTTACCATTAATTGCAATGGCACTACTCCTATTAGTATGGGTATTTATTAACCAGCAGATTAAGGGAATGTGAGTTTGCAGCAATGGATGATAGCATAAGGGTGAGCAGCTGGGGTGTTGATTTTCTAAGGAATAATTTTCTAAGAAATTCCTCACTTACATAGAAGTAGTAGTCCAAGCGGATGCTTCCACTTAGCTAGCCAGGCTCCTGAGACCACCGTGAAGGTCATGGATGCTTCCAGTGAAGTGTGGTCCTCCTTCCAGAGGGCTCTGTAATGCAGAAGAGAAACAGAGGCTCCCAGATCCTACGGCTCAACTATGCTGCTGTTCCCTCTCTTCTGAGTGCAAGTCAGAAGTAGAGAGTTTGTGGTTATCTTAAGACAGTCAGAGAAACCACAGCTTGTGTCTTCTTTGAGAAAACAGTACTCTCTTCTGCTTTCCAGTGGGGAGAAAAATATCGAGCTTGGTTATGCAAAAGAAAAATGAAGAAGAAAAGATGCTTTAGGCTGCAACAATCATTTTCTGTTCTATAAAATTGCTTAGCACTTTTTAAAAAAAGAATATTTTATGGCTGGGATAGGGACATGGATTATCCAAATGTTTATAATAGAATGATAGAATTATAAGTTGGAAGGGACCATGCGAGTCTTCTCATCCAACACCCTGCAATGCAGGAATCTTTTGCCCAAGGTGGGGCTCAAACCCAGAACCCTGAGATTAAGAGTCCCATACTTTGCTGACTGAACTATCCCAGCTGCTAGGTTTCAAATTCCATCCACCCCATCCATCATAGACCAATGGTAATGGACGATGGGAGCTGGAGTCCAGCAACAATAGAATGGTTGCAGGTTTCCACATTCTATGGAATTAAGAGTTAGGATATGTCTCAAGCTTGGAGCTGCCTAGCCTGTTATAGGCTGTCATGGACTCTGACACTGGGTGATGGGCACGTGGGCCAAAGGAAGCCCCTCCAAGTGATGAAACTGCTTTATGTCCCCTTCTTTCATGTGTTCAAAATAGATCACAGGTGAGGCAACCTTGTTCTGTGGCCTGTCCTACCTGCTTCTTGCCCATTTACGACACTCATTCATTGCCTTCAGTCAGAGGGTTTGAATAAAGAGGTAAAGTAGGTCTGGGTTGCCCTCTTATGGACAGAATTGTAAAACCATGAAAACTGTTCAGTAGGAGGTGACACATACAAGGCACATCTGCTTTCCACATTGAAAACAAAATAAAAACAAAAATTTCAGGGCCAGCCCTCCCATTGGACAAGGTGAGCCCCTTGCCTCAGGTTAAAGATCAGGAGAAATGGAAGATTGGTGCCATTTTGCTTACTCACAACTGCCCTCCAGTCCAGTCCTCTCACTTGAAGATGGACTGGCTGGGGATAGGTGCCACCTTCTGCTTTTTTAGTTGACATATGTCTGTCTCAAGAGACACTGCCCCATTGAAGGGGGGAGAGGTGTTTTTGTTGCCTGGTGGTCTTGATCCCAGGAAGGAATGGGTGAATCTGTCTGTTTTAATTTCTCCCAGTTATCCAATTCTCCAATTGTTAGTTCTCTTCCTGACATTTCCACATCAGTTGTCAGGCTGCTGCCAGCAACTCCTGACCAGTTTCCCAGCAATGTACAAAGACAAGGAAATGTTTTTTTACCATCCACTTTTTATTCAGTACTTACAGAGAACGGATATAGAACCCAGCCTCTTGGATAATGGCGTTGGCCCGAGAGAATCTTCACTCCCACCCCCCATCTCTCCCATTTCCTCATTCGTCAATCGCATCATCTCTCCTACGGGTGCTGAGAAGTGCTCTCTGTCTTTGAGTTCTTTGCTCTCCTACTTTCAAGGCTCGCTGGGTTCTGGGAGAGGGGGGTCTGGAATGCTTTCTAAAGACACTGTGTCCATCAGCTGTCACCCCCTGGTGCTTCCTCTTCTCCTCCTCCTCTCCCATTATTTCCCAACTTTCCCCCTCATCTGCCTCTGAGCTGCGACCTCCCTCAAACTCCTGCTGTATTTCTGAACTGTCTTCCTCTCCTTCCTCCCTGGAAGGGTCAAGCTGGGGAGGCAATTTCCACCATTCCTCATCTGCCCAGTCCCTGACACCAGTTTGCAAATCATTTTTCAAATGCCTTCTTGAAAACTTGTCAGCATTTCAACATAAATCTATCCTAATATATAAAAGTTGTTGTTATTTAGTCGTGTCCGACTCTTCGTGACCCCATGGACCAGAGCACGACAGGCACTCCTGTCTTCCACTACCTCCCGCAGTTTGGTCAAACTCATGTTTGTAGCTTCGAGAACACTGTCCAACCATCTCGTCCTCTATCGTCCCCTTCTCCTTGTGCCCTTAATCTTTCCCAACATCAGGGTCTTTTCCAGGGAGTCTTCTCTTCTCATGAGGTGGCCAAAGTATTGGAGCCTCAGCTTCAGGATCTGTCCTTCCAGTGAGCACTCAGGGCTGATTTCCTTATGAATGGATAGGTTTGATCTTCTTGCAGTCCATGGGACTCACAAGAGTCTCCTCCAGCACCATAATTCAAAAGCATCAATTCTTCGGTGATCAGCCTTCTTTATGGTCCAGCTCTGACTTCCATACATCACTACTGGGAAAACCATAGCTTTAACTATATGGACCTTTGTCGGCAAGGTGATGTCTCTGCCTCATCATCATCATCATCACATCACATCATAGAGACATCAGCAGAGATATCGAAACTTATCTGTATGCATTTTTAGAAAATTTGCAAAAATGGGGGGGGGGACCCCTGAAACATGCACATTGGTATGTCATTTCAACTAATACTTGCATTTTTAGGTGCACTTTATCTCAGTAGATGCATTTATGTATACAGTACATTACTTGGCTGGAAAATTACTTTTGCAAAATTTGGATCAGCTTGAATTTGGAAGGGTGGCTGTGTTTCAGTTCTTGCACTGTTTTGGAAAGCGTGAATAAGTAGGTTAACCTGTAGATGCAAATAATCCCCCCCCCACTCCCATATATGTGTGGTTGCTACAAAGTTGCCACAAAGGTCATCAGTCGTCATGCAGATCTGGGCTCATTTCCCCTTGCAAGTTTTTGCTCTGCTTATCCACCGACTGACTTTACTGTGTCACTCCCAGCACAGAAATAGACAGCAGAGTCATTCAGCTGGCTGGCAGATTTCTCCATGTTGAAGCTCTTCTTGTTTTTATCATGCTTGGCTTGGAAGTTGTGACTGCGTCCCTCGCCAGAGCTGGTACCATCTCCCAAATCAGTAAAAAATATCCTTGGAGGTTTTCCAGGAGGCTGAATGTACCAGAAAAGATAGTAGACATTTTTGTCATAAACACAATCAAGAGAGATTCTTGCTCCTTGGTTGACGATCATGGTTCTTTCTTTCTGGGTTACATTCTGTCCAAAACTCCCTTCTGTAAAGAAGATAATGGCAGAAGAGATTGTATTAGATGGAGAGACGGATGGAGCAAAGCCCATAGATTCCCTTATCTACCTGACTTGGAGAATCTTGATCACCTGAGGATACATGAAGGGGGGGGGGAGAGATCTCTTCCAATGATGGAGAAATGAATCACTTACTTAAGGCTGAGATGATGATGAGCAGAACCAAGGCACAAAGGAAGGACATTTTCCTGGACCAAGAAACAGCAAGAAATTGGTAAGGACACCGATGCTAGTTGTAAGCAGTTTATGGGCTTGGCTCCACAAACACAGCTGTATGAAATGATTTGATGAAATGTGGGTGACTCCTTCCTCTTGGTAAGTAATGTCAAAAAAGCAACTTAAGATAAAAGAACAGGATGTGGTTTGTGGTCTAGGTACCAATGTGTGCTATTGAATGGGAACTCGATATCTCAATATTTTATAAGTAGAGTAGAGTAGAGGTTGCTTGATATTGCCACCTTCTGTTTGAAAGCCACATGACAGCTTCAAGACCTATAACACTTAACAAAATATACAGTATGGGACCCCAAATTTAAACTTTCCAGTCCATCACCCAAAGGATAAAAAAGTAGTTTTCCTTCTCTTTCCCTCTCTTTAATAAAGTCTGAAATTTCCTTCTTACAGCCTTGTGTTGCAGGATTTTCTTAGTGATGAATAGATAAGTCTATGGTCTTTATCAATTTCACATGTGTTTGTTCACTAGATTGCCCCATCATTAATGTACTTATTTATAAGATTTCTGACCTGACCGGCACCAAATGACCCTCAGGTGAGTGATTGGTATACAATTAAAAAGAAGTAAAAGGGGGAAAGGACATAAAACACTAAAACTCTGCTGGAATGTAGCTGACTCTAGCAAGGGTAAGAGGAGTGTCATGGATAGCTCAGTTGGCTAGAGCGTGGTGCTGATGATGCCAGGGTTGCAGGTTCGATCCCCATATGGGACAGCTACATTGCAGGGTGTCAGGGGCTGGACTGAGGAGGAATGGTGGGGACCGCCCCCCTTCTCCTGAAACTTCCTGAGAACAGGAGGACAGTATTGATTTAGAACAGTGGTTTGCAGAAGGGCATAGTTCAGAGGCTGCAGAGGGGTTGTTGTTGTTTAGTCATTTAGTCGTGTCCGACTCTTCATGACCCCATGGACCAGAGCACGCCAGGCACTCCTGTCTTCCACTGCCTCCCGCAGTTTGGTCAAACTTATGCTGGTAGCTTCGAGAACACTGTCTAACCATCTCTTCCTCTGTCGTCCCCTTCTCCTTCTGCCCTCAATCTTTCCCAACATCAGGCTCTTTTCCAGGGAGTCTTCTCTTCTCTTCTCATGAGGTGGCCAAAGTATTGGAGCCGAGGGGAGAAGCTGGGAAATATTGGAAGAGGAACAGCAGGAAGAAGAAGCACCAGGGAGAGACAGCTGACAGACTCTGTGTCTTTGGAAAGCATTCCTGATGCTTTCCCTCCCAGGACCACATGAGCATTGAGGGTAGTAAAAAAGAGAGCTCAGAGGCAGAAAGCTCAGATGAGCTGACGCAAGGGTGACGTAGAATAGGAGAGACATAGGGGGTGGGACTTTACTTAGAGCAATGCCATTATTTAGGGGAGACTGCATTCCTTCGTCTCTCCCTGTGAAAATTGAATAAATTAATTGGTAAGAACTTTTATTGTCTATCTGCTTCTTGGCTGCCACTGGGGGAGGGATTGGATTTCCTGAAGCCTGACACAGGAGGTTGAACTAGATGATCCTCAGGGTTCCTTCCAACTCCACAATTCTGTGTTATATGTATGATTCCTTTAGTCCACCCAGTTTTTCCCTCTGATCCATCCACCACTGCAATATTGCCCAAGAGGGTTTCTTGTAGGGGAATGTGGACAGCTCCTTGCACTGCTGGACAGCTCTTCAGCTTCACTGATCAGTGGAGGTCCAGACATGAGAGAGCCCCACCAGCTGAAAACAATTTACAGATGGTATTTAACTCCGAGTAGGCTTGTTAAGATGTATAAGGCTGAATCAGATAAGTGCTGGAGATGCAAGGAGGTTGAGAGAATGTTTTTTCGTATGTGGTGGACTTGTAAAAGGATAAAAGAGTATTGAGAAATGATCCATAATGAATTGGGGGGAGGGGAATGTTTAAAAGTAGCTTCCTAAAAAAACAGAGTCCTTTTTGTTGGGTATAATTCAGATGGAAATTTCCAGCTGTCATAAAAGGTTATTTATATATGCCACTACTGAGGCCCGTGTTATTTGTTAACCCCAAAATGGAAAATGAGCGAGGTCCAAACTAAAGAAGAATGGCAACTTAAGCTGATGGAATATGCACAGCTTGCAGACCTAACATATAGAACAAGAAGAGCATACGTTTAAAGAGGATTGGAAAATGTTTATTAAATATATGGGGTGAAATCGTGCACACTTGAAAATGCTGGCAGCATTAAGATAAATTCAACAGTGTAAATAAGTTTTGATGGATGCAATAATGGAATACTGAACGGTTTAATTTATGTAAAATATGCAGGGATTTATGGTATGTAAAATGAACCATGGAAAGAGAAGAAGGGAAGTCATTGATATTGTAAGGATGTTTAAATGAGTACTTAAAATTGTAAAACAGGAAATCTAATAAAAATTATATATGCAAAGAGAGAGCCCCACCATCTCTCCTTTCAGAAGGGACATCCTGCTCTCCTCCTCACCACCACCACCAACACCACCTCCCTGTGCGTGAGATGATGCAGTCAAGCACCACTGCGGGACTCAGATCACAGTAGTATATAGCTTCATCTCAAAGAGAAACCTTCCCAGTCTTCAAGTTGGCTGTGCAATTGAAGTCCCAACAAAGCTCTTCCTGCATAGCCACCGCTTGTTTCCCCTTGCAAGTTTTTGCTCTGCTTCTCTACCAGCCCAGCCCACTGTGTCGCTAAAAGCACAAAAATAAACAGCAGAGTCACTCAGCTGGCTGGCAATCTTCACCGTGTTGAAAGTCTTCTTTTCTTTATCATGCTTGGCTTTGAATCCTAGATTGACCTCATCAGCAGAAGAGGAGCCCCCTCCAAAATCATCCAGGAAGAGCCTGGGAGGTTGGCTGGGTTGCTGAATGTACCAGAATGGGAAGGCCAAGTAAGAAGTTGTGTAGGTGCAGTTGAGAGCAATGCGGTCTCCTTCAGTTATGGTCACAGTGCCTTCAGTTTGGGTCACTGACTCTCCAGCGTTCCCCTCTGTACAAAAGATAAGGACAGAAAAGTTAGATGGATAAATGGACGAAACGACAAAGCATTCCTGCTCCTTTGACTCTTAGCTTTCTGTGAACACCTTTTAAAAGAATGTAGTGTTATGTGCACTCTTCCCTGAGCAACGCCCTTCACAAAGGCACATGGATAGTATGAGAATAACACCAAGGGCCTTTAAATGTCACAAGTAAAAACAACAACAGATTCACAGGCAACATTGAGCTTAAACATATCCCTGAGAACAGAAGAGATCAGATTTCAGGTGTATAGGATCGACTTTGATTCATAGTAAAATCCCGAGGAAAACTAATTGGAGCCTGATGCACATAGACATACACTTAGACTTAACGAATTCTGAGGCTAGGAATTTATTTTTGAGTACTAGAACTGAAGGCAGCTCACAGTACTTCCACAGACAAATGCCGTACCTGGATAACTTTCTTCTTTTCAGAAGCATAACCCAGGAGTTTGGCATTTTGGTTGCTGCTTTCATTAAAATAATTGGGAGTCAAGATACTTGGCAATCTACTGGAGATCATCCACAAATCTTTCCATGGACTCCCTTATCTATCTGACTTGGAGAATCTTGATCACCTGAAGAGACATGAAGCAAAGTTGACCTCTTCCAATGGTGAGGAAATGGATCACTTACTTAAGGCTGAGACGATGATCAGCAGAGCCAAGGCACAAAGGAGAGGCATATTCCTGGATCAAAGACAAGGTGAACAGCAGAAAATTGGTAAGGACTCTGGTGCTAGTTCTGAGCAGTTTATGGGCTTGGCTCCAAAAACATGGCTGTATGAAATGTGGGTGACTCCTTGCTCTTGGTAAGCAATGTTTAAAAAGCAACTTAAGGTATAAGAAAAGGATGTGGTTAGTGGTCAGGTTGCCAATGTGTGCTATTGAATGAGAACTCAATATCTGGCATCATACTATAGGATGTAGTATTAGCTGAGATTGCTCAACATCTCCACCTTGTGTCTGAAAGCCACCTGAGAGCTTCATCTACAAGACATAGCTATCTAGTTATCTGGTTCTTTACAAAAGTTGAAGCACTCAAATCAGGGAACTATTTAGCTATCTAGGTAGCTATACCTGAAGGAGCATCTCTACCCCATTGCTTAGCCCAGACACTGAGATCTTCCTCCAGTAGGACTTCTGGTGGTTCTCTCACTGAGAGAAGTGAAGGGAACTGGGCAGGGGGCCTTATCGGCAGTGGTGTCCCTGTGGAACACACACTCCTATCAGATGTCCAGGAGATAAAGAACTACACAACTTTTAGTTGGGAATAACTCAGATGGAAATTCCCAGGTGTTGGAAAAGGTTATTTATGTATGCCACTACCACCTTTTGTTAGCCCCAAAAGGGAAAATGAGCAAAATCCTAACTAAAGAAGACTGGCAACCTAAATTGATATGTGCAGTTTGCGGACCTAACATATATAATATAAGAACAGAAGAACATTTGTTTAAAGGAGTTTGGAAAATGTTTATTCAATATATGGAGGAAAATTGTGTTTATTTGAAAATGCTGGCAGCATTAAGATAAATTCAACAGTGTAAATAAGTTTTGATGGATGTAATAATGGAATACTGAATGGATTAGTTTATATAAAATATGCAGGGATTTATGTTGTGCAAAATGAACCATGGAAAGAGAGGAAGGGAAGTCATTGATATTTTAAGTGGTTGTTTAAGTGAATATTCTAAAATATAAAACAGAAATTTAATAAAACAAACAAACAAACAAAGAACTGCACAACTTTTAGACGACATCTGAAGGCAGCCCTGTATCAGGAAGTTTTTAATGTTTGATGTTTTACTATGTTTTTATATGTGCTGTAAGGAGCCCCGAGTGGCTGGGGAAACCTAGCCAGATGGGCGAGCTATAAATAATAAAAGTATTATCATTATCATTTTCATCTTCATCTTCATCTAGTTCACACACACATGAGAAATGGTTGCAAATAAAATAAAATGTGGCTGTTGTATATGGTCATATGAATGCTGCCATCCATACTTTGCATATAGCCTGTTTTGAGCCTCAATTTAATGTGCACCTAGTAATGCCTTCTCAAGCACATGTTCTTCGCTCAGCCACTGGGTTGGTTTTTGTGCTCCCTGGCTTGTCATTCTCTTCACTGTGTCTCTCAAGGCACAGAAATAGACAGCTGAGTCTCTTGGCTCACCGGACGCCTTTTTCAAATGAAAGGACTCCTTTTTGTCAAGGACTGCTGAAAACCCATTCTTTTTTGTCTCCTCGCTGGGATCATCATAACTTGAGAGCAAGTGCCGAGGGGGTTCCGGTGGATGCTGTACATACCAGAAAATAACTGGGGAGAAAGACGACGTGTAGCTGCATGGCAGCAAAACACTCTCCCCCTCTTGAATGGTAAAATCAGCTATGGTTTGGTTGACAGAGTCTCCATAGGCAATTCCTGCAAATAAGGGGGACGACAACGTGAGCTTTATTTATCTATTTTATTCCATAAAATCTCTACACTGCTTGAGTGTAAAAAGCCATTGCAAGAGAAATAAAACAATATAATTATCAGTTGAAAACAGTTAAAAATATTCCAAAAATATTAAAATCTATGACAAACTAAGAAAGAGAGATTAAAACACACACATCAATTGCTGATTTTGGCTGGGAATCTCCAAGGCTTTAATCAACCAGAGGTATCAAAAAGCACAGGGAAATATAAAATAAGGGGGATATAAAATAAGGTCAAGGAACATTGATAATGCATGCCAAGGCCAAGAGTGGTGCGGATGCTCAGTAAGAGAGGACGATGTTCCCTCTTTCAAATTTTTAAAAAAGAGAATGCTACTCACTTATAGTTAATGCCAGTAACATAGCAGATGCAGGTGAAAAGATCATGTTGAAGGATGAGGAAGCTGAGTTCCAACCTATTCAGAACTGGCTGTGGTTAAAGATGATGCTGAGCAGGAGGTCACTTCCTTCTCAGGGTTCTCTGACAGTTAGCAATGCCATGTTTGAGCAGGGATGAATTGGCCACACCTCCCCTCCTGGGAGTAGACGGTCTCTCCCATCGAGAGGAGGGTCACATGCTGTTAAGTTCTGTATGTAATCAGGCCTTCCAAGTGTCCCTATTTTCCAGGGAGCAGTCCCAGATTTACAGAAGCTGTCCCGGTTTCTGGTCTGATTCCAGATTGTCCCACTATCCCTTAGGTAAATGTAAAGGAACCCCTGACCATTAGGTCCAGTCATGAGCGACTCTGGGGTTGCAGCGTTTATCTCGCTTTATTGGCCGAGGGAGCCTGCATACAGCTTCCGGGTCATGTGGCCAGCATGACTAAGCTGCTTCTGGCGAACCAGAGCAGCGCTCGGAAACTCCTTCCCGCCGGAGTTTCTATTTATCTACTTGCACTTTGACGTGCTTTTGAACTACTAGGTTGGCAGGAGCAGGGACCGAGGAACGGGAGCTCACCCCATTGGAGGGATTTGAACCGCCGATCAGCAAGTCCTAGGCTCTGTGGTTTAACCCACAGCGCCACCCGCGTCCCCCACTATCCCTTAGGACGTCCCTATTTTCGTTGGCGAAATGTTGGAGGGTATGTGTAAGCAGAATGCCCTGTTGAATTCCCTAATCTGCAACAGCAGCACTGCCACCTTGTGGCACCAGAATGAGATGATGGTTTCATTCATTCATGAAAGGCATTTGCCTACTGCGCAGACAGGCGGAGGCCCCCCCAACCCCAGGCGACACCCAAGTGGAATAATGACTCAAAACAACATGTTATGGGATTAAAATTTGGCCACAACTTTATTAAAGTTTAGATGTAGGGAGACCTTGGCTTAGGCACTGGGCGTTTATCCCTCCCAGTCCCCAGCTGGGGATCTGGGGAACATCAGGGTTATCCAGAATGTGTGGGGATTGGGCTAGCTCTGGAGAACATCTGTTCAAGCAGAAAGCCCGCCCCCCCCCATTTCGCCACCATCACGGAGGAGAGCAATGACAACTTATTGGCATATGGCCAATGCCTCCCTTCAAAACAACCCCTTTAATGGGGAACCCTGGGATCGCCAACACGGGGGGGGGGCATGGGTCACCGCTTCATCCCCCCCCCCCATTTAGGGAAGATGGACTAAAGGATTCTGCCTGAAACAGCCAAAGTTGTGACATTTTGCTACGGGGAAGGCAAAACCTGCCCATTCAGGAAAATTCCTTTCTGGCCCTTCAACAGTGACCATAACATAGCAGCACCCACGTACCTGTGGAGAAGAGGTTAACCTCCAAAGGAAGGCTTAACTGAGGGAGGGCAGGGTGGGAGAAGCTTTGAAGCCGAGGGAGAACTCCCAGGTAAGTTCCACCCACTATTGTATGGGCAGGGTGACCCCTCCCCTTACCTGGCCAACTCTCTCCTGGCAACACCTCCCCAGCTGGGATTGGCAAAGGTAGGCAGTTACCTCCAGGTGTCCAGCCTGGGGGGGGGTGTGAATCCAGGCTGGATTCTGCTGGGAGCTTCATGGGATCAGGGGGGGGGGGGTCTGCGTGCGACCACACAAAAGGCGCCCCCCATTTGATGTGGGGATCGGTCATTGCCCTTTATAATATTCATCTCTGTGTGGCTTACTCAGGTTCACTCAGAAATCTCACAAAATCCATGGTTATTATGGCCAGGCAAGTGTGCTGATATGAGATGACTGAGAGGACCACCTTCAAATATCTAAAGGGCTGTCACAGGGAAGATGGAGCAAGCTTGGTTTCTGCTATTCTAGAGGGTAGGACCCAAATGAATGGATTCAAATTTCAAGCACGAGGATTCTGACTAAACAATAGGAAGAACTCTATGACGGTAGAAGCTGTTTGACACTGGAACACACTACTTTGAAAGGCGATGGACCTTCACTGGTGGATATTAAACAGAGGCTGGATGGTCATCTGTCAGGGATCCTTAAGCTGTGATTCCTGCATTGCAAAAGGTTGGTCCCTTCCACCTCTACAATTCTAACATTCTGTGAAGGAGGGGAATGGCAGTGAGTGGGTAGGTGGGTGGATTTGTGGGTGCAAAGGATAGCTTGCCCATGCTGATGGGAGTTGTAGTCCAAAATAGCTGGAGGGTACCAGGTTGGTATACCTCTAAATATAGCAACATACCTAAGTGTACTACTGGTGTGTGTGTTGTTGTTTTGCTTTGTTTTCCCTAGTTACATTAGGAAAAGAGACATTTGCATTCTTGCAAGGAGAAAAGAACAGAAGTTAAAGGAACCTCTCCTCAGTCCCCACACAGCAGTTTTTGCAGGAACAAAGAGTCAAAGATGACTCACTGTGGGTCTCAGAGCACAGAAAAACACAGCCTCATCCTGGAGAGAGGCGCCTTCGATTGTCAGAGGAACAGTCTTATTTTCAAGAAACAAAGTAGTAGAAAATTTTCCCTCAGCAAATTGGTTCTTCCTCTGAGGGTTTTTGTATGCATGAAAGATCAGCTGGGGTCCTCTTCCCATGTGTTGACGGTACCAATAAAGGTCTGGGCTTGCGCTATAAGAACTAGAAAATTTGCAGAATAAAGAGACAGACTCTCCTTCTTTGATTTCCATCTGACTCGGGGACTGGAGCACTGAATCACTTTGGGACGTTCCTACAAAACAGAAACAAATGAATAAAAAAATGGTAAATTATCTGTTTATCTTCTATTTCATATATAAATCTTCTATTTCATATATAAAAGTGATCCATAAATTATTTTCATAATACTGGCCCTAATGATGACAGTGCAGCCATGAGTGTTCATCTAGGAGCTGCGAGACCAACGGGTCAATTCCCACATAGCCCAAAAGCCTTGGGCCAGACACTGATGCTCATCCTAATCTACCTCACAGGCAGGTTGCTATGAAGATAAAATACAGGGGGAGAACCATTCATGCCACCTTCAGTTCCTTGAAGGGAAATTGGGGGTATATAAGTTATCGTACATAAACAATAAAATCCCAAGTCCAACTACCTGTTCAGTTCCTCACTCTCTCAAGGTAACCATTGGGAGTATTACCTGATTTCAACAGCAGAAGGAATGTTCCCAGACTTGCCAAGAAGCAGGAAGCTTTAGAGAGGAAAAGCATCCTTGGGATGATGAAAGTTCTGATACTAAGCTCTCGTTGTGCTTGGAAATATGGCAGCTGGAGCAAAACTCCCTTTGTGGCCTGCCTCATTAGCTTCCTGCTCTCTTATGCTGCTGCTTCATAATGAAAGTTTCATTATCTTGGAGAATTAAGGTGAGTTGAGTGCTTTTTTTCAGTGGAAGGGAAAACCAATGGGGGATGTGTGGAGGTCTAGGTTGCCCTCTGGTGCCTAGAAGGGAGAAATGCAGTGTTTGTTTGCCTTACAGATGGTGCCAGATTTCAGCATAAGCTACCGTATTTTTCGCTCTATAGGACGCACCGGACCATAGGAGGGGGAGAACAGGGGGGGGGAATTCTCCCCCTCTCTGCTCAGCACCCCTTCAGCGAAGCGGCAGGAGAAACGGAGCCCCTTCCATTTCTCCTCCCGCTTCGCTGAAGGGGTGCTGCGCAGAGAGGGAAAACTGTGCAGCGCCTCTCCAGCAAAGTGAAGCCTGGAGAGCAAGAGGGATTGGTGTGCACCGACCCCTCCCACTCTCCAGGCTTCAGGCGGCTATCTGCAAGCCTTTGGAGCACAGCGCTGCGCTCAGAAGGCTTGTGGATAGCTGCCTGAAGCCCCCTGAGCGCAGCAGCAGTTCGCGCTGCGCTCTGGGTGCTTCAGGCTTCTCCTTTTTAGCCGTGGGGCTGGGGTGGGGGAAGCCCGAGCTTCCCCCGACCCCAGCCCCCAGAACAGGTCGGGGAGCGGTGGTCCCTTCTCCCTCCTGGGGAAAAGCCCACAAGAGCCGCGCGAAGCTTGTGTGTGGCTCTTGTGGGCTTTTCCTGCCTGCCTCCCCCCTGCATTCGCTCCATAGGACGCACAGACTTTCCCCCTTAGTTTTTAAGAGGGAAAAAGTGCGTCCTATGGAGTGAAAAATACGGTAAGTAAGCTACAGTTTAGGACCACAGGTTAAGATAATGGTATTAATAATAATAATATGTTGTTGTTGCTGTTTTGTTTTCAAGCCATACCTCATTGGTTTTTTAAAAAGGAAACAGGGAAAACAAAATCTAAAACAGACGTTTTCATTTTCTTTATACTTTCTTTTAGAATACCACACTTGAAGGGAAGGGAGAATAATGGGTTTGTTTTTTTTCAAAGCTGATGTAGTTTAGGACCTCAGCATGACTTAATCCAGCTCCATTACAAGTCTAAAATAGTTTAAAGAAAGTGGCAACTGCAATAAAACGTTATAGTTATAGTTTCCCTGTCTGATGCCCTTCTCCAGCATATTCCATTCCCCCTGCTCCAGTGTGTCATTTATGTGGCCAATGAGCACACTCAGTCCTGACTGGGCTGTTTGGCAACTCCATCCAAATCACTGTTCATTTCCTGCTTGTTTGCTCATTTTGATTTTTACTTGTGCCAACCTTCGGACTCCCCCGAACTTTCGTCTTTGCCTCCTTCTCTTTACTATCAATTTTTTTAAAAAAAAAAATCCTTCTTAAGAAATATTTTCATTAAGGATGGTTATCTCACAGGGATTTATGCTAAAAAGAACACTTAAAAACACAAAAACAGCAAATGCATTTAAGACGAACTAAAACCATATGAAGCAAATGCTCATGGCACACACCAGCTGGGAAAGCCTACTGGAGCAAAAACAACCACAACCACAACAACAACAACAGCCAACCACTTCAATATCTCAATAAGAATGATCTTCTGCAGGATACTGCATATATCAGTGAGACCCTCCTAAGATGCAGGGTCTTGAACCATTATAACATCCCAGAAGGTCTTGCTTCCCCCAAAGCCACAGCCTTCAATTCAAGCAGAAATCAAACATGGCTCTCACTCTCAGGCTTTTCTCATACCCAGCTCTCTCATACAACTCTGGCTGTCCTTTGTGGTTCTCAGTACTAGCCAGGTGACAGAGGGCGCCCACCCATTTGCCCTCTGGCGCAGAGCAAATTCCTCAGTGATACCAAGAGGCCATTATGGCCCTTCCCTGGCTCATTCAGCAATGGGTTCCTCCTCCTCCGTTAGATTCTAACCCTTCCTGGATCCAGAAATTAGAAGGGACTTAGGCATCATACAGCCTAATTCCCCTTCCACCTCACAATATTGATGGAATCATAGAATTGTAGTGTTAGACGGGACCCTGGGGGTCAACCATCTGACTTTTAGAAGACGTCTGAAGCCAGCCTTGTTTAGGGAAGTATTTAATGTTTGATATGTTACCACTTTTTTATTCTGTTAGGAGCCGCCCAGAGTGGGAAACCCAGCCAGATGGGCAGGGTATAAATAATAAGTTGTTGTTGTTGGTTGTTGTTGTTGTTGTTACCTCCTGCAATGCAGGCATGTGGAGGTGGCCTGTAGAGGATCAAACCTATGATTTTGGTGTTATCAGCACCACCCTCTAATCAGTGGAGCTGGGCAGAGTCTTATTATAGCTCAATCACAGACAAAATTAAGAATGCTCCTGCCCCTTCAGTCTCAGATTCCTATGATGGTAACTACGTAGCATCTTGGTCTATGCTGAGGTTCGTGGAAAGGCGTTTTGAAGTCCTATTTATATCTTGCAAACCCCGTTATGCCCTGTTATGCCTTGCTCCTGCCCCGCCACTGTTCCACCCCTGTTCTGCCTTTTTCCAGGTCCAAAAGGACCCATGACTTGGCAATTGCCTGAAATGGTCTCCACCTGTACAGTTTCATAATATGAGTATTTATTATTATCATCACCAGCCCGCCTTTTAGGATACAAATCCTTCCCAGGAAAGTAACATTTTTTAAAATGCATTGAGAAAATCATAACAGGGATAGCGATTTGTAACAATTCATCCTGCTCCTTCCCACAAGGCAGTTGTGGAGGAAAACGTTGCAGATGGGAACGGCTCTGAGACAGACTTCACCTGCTTTCCTCAGTTTCTGTGTGCCAAATATTGCCAACGAAGGGCTCTCCTGATGTGTTGAACTCCATCTCCCTTCGGCCAACATGACCAGTAGTCAGGGGGAACTGGAGCAGAAGGGTATCATATTGGTCCCCCTTTGCAATATTCCACCACCATCTTAAAGCAACCCATGCCATACTGTGGAAAAGTCATGCTACTGCATCTAATGTAAGTCCTATTTCCCTGCATCAGGAGTTCTGCCACCTGCCACCAGGTGGGTTTTTGTCCTGCTCTCTTTAGCATCCTCTTCACTGTGTCACTCATAGCGCAGAAGTAGACAGCCGAGTCTCTCAGCTCAACAGATTTCTTTGTCAGATTGAAGAACTTCTTTTTGGGGTCTGCTGAGAGAGTCCAGCCCTTGCTTGCCTTTTCATCCTGAGCACCGTAGTTTGAGACCAAGAGCTGAGGGGACTCCTGTGGGTGTTGTTCATACCAGAAAAGTGTTGGAGCGGAGTAAGAAGTTTCAAAGAGACAGCTGAGCTCCACATGCCATCCCTCCTGGAATTCAAGATGACCTTCCGTTTGGGACACAGAGTCTCCCAGGGTCCTTTCTGTAAAAGGAAATGTGTGAAATAGGTTGTTAAATTCAGCTGGAAATCTCCAGACAATCTAAGGCAGGCATAGGCAAACTCAGCCCTTCAGATGTTTTTGGGACTACAACTCCCATCATCCCTGACCAAAACGTCCCAAAACGTCTGGAGGGCTGAGTTTGCCTATGCCTGATCTAAAGGGTGTGAAAGAATGGAAGGAAATAAAACAGAGAGCTTTTGAAAGTCTCTCTGTTTTCAGCTTTGAACCACCCAACAAAGCGAAATGTTGGAGAATTCAGGACAGACAAAAGAAAGTACACATAGTTAAGCGACAGAATTCACTCCCACAATAGGCAGTGAAGGCCACCAGCTTGGGTGCCTCTAGAATAGAGTTGACGAATTCATGAAGGATAGTGCTATCAATGATGGCTATGTTCTACCTCCACTCTCATATGTATTCCCAGCCAGACTGTCAGTGAAGATGCCCACAAACATCCTCTTGACAGCCACCCTATTAACTGGTGGATTCCTTGGCTTAACTAGGTCAATTCATCAACCATAAATATATAATCATCTCCACTTGCTTATTGCTAGAGTTGTACATGCTTTCCATGTCAGTGCATGCCAATCCAAGAAAAGTGTGCACAGCATTAATTAGTTCAATTAATAGCCTAAGACCAGGGACTTATTTACAGTGTTGTCCTAAACATGTCTACTCAGAAGTTTTATTGAATTCAATGGGTCTTATTTCCAGGTAAGTGGGCTTAGGATAGCAGTCGCAATCATTCTTGACCAGCTTCAACCAATGGAGGCATTGTTTTCAAAGCACACTTGTTTCTGTTTTTAAGCCTTTTTGAGTTATGGGACACAATTGCAACATGAAGTGGAAATTTCTTTCTAACTGTGGATGATCCTTTATTGGGCCGTACATTATCTTCTGGTTCCTTCAGTCCTTCACAGAAGGCAACCACATTTATACTTCATTCATTATTTTAAGTGCATCAATTACAAATCAAATTATTATTATCCATTTACAGAATTATTCTGCTGTCTGTTAAGCTCTGCTTCTTCCTGAGCAACTGTTACTAATACCAAGACAATGTCTAGAAACCAAGCACTCAACAGTGCAGAAAGTTCTTAAACCACCCCAAAATAAGTTTATCAAAATTTGAGCATGTATTCTCAAATTGGTTAACAGATTTAATAGTCAATGGTGTGTCCATCTGGATCTGGGCACTGAGAGTCAATGCTTCTAGAAATTATATTTCATCTCCATTTTGCTGGTGGTTTTTATCTCAGCTCTTCTGCTAGGTCAACCACTGTGTCTCTCAAGGCACAGAAATAAACAGCTGAATCGTTCATCTCAGTAGCTTCTTTTTGCAGATGGAAGGATTTGTTTGTCTTGACATGTTTAGCAGAGAATTCTTGTCTTTTGGTTTGAGTGTGATCTGCAAGCTCCTCTTTCAGCAAAAGTTGGGGTGTCCCACCATCAAGTTGCTGGACATACCAAAACAGATAGGGATATCCAGAATATTCATAGGT